ATATACATCTTTGGGAGGGTACTATACTATTCTATCTGGCTTCTGGCCCCCAAAGATTCACATCCATTGAACATATAAAATGCAATTATTCTATTCCAAATTACCCAAAGTATCAGCCCATTGATACTTCTGTAAAATCTTTATTGGGGTGGGGGTTGTGGTGTAAAATCTCATCTACATCTCATCACCTTCACCTGATGATATCCTCAGGCTCAAGGCTTTTCTTATGTTTTGTCCTTTTTCTCACAGTCCAAGCTGGCAGTGTTTCTGCTGGTATAAAATTCTCAAGAACCTTGTGAGTCTTCTTTGTGTGTCACAGGCATTCATTCCATTAGACAAACAGGAGGCTCCTCCACTGACAGAGATGGGATAATCTCATCTCTATTTCTGGTTTCTGCTGAGACGGTTGTGCCATTTGCCTAGTCTCTTCAAAGAGCCCTCAGTATGAATGAATATTGTGATCTTTTGATTCTTATAAGGCACTAGGAAAAGGTTGTACAACTGCACCCTTGGCTTTTTGTCCAGAGCACACATTCCTTGACGGTAAATCACCTAATTTTAGCATCTTTTGCTATATGGAAGGCTGAGAATTTCCAAAATTAATTACTGGTTCCTTTTGGCTTAATAGTTCTTTTCCTCAAAATTTCTCTCTTTCTTTTGCATTTTACCATAAGCAGCAGGAAGAAACCAGTAAACTTCCTCAGCTAAATATACAAGTTCATTGTTTATAAGTTTTGTTTTCCTCACAACTGTAGATACAATTCAGTTAAGTTTCTCCCTCTATTTGAGGACCCCCTTTACTGTGTTTCCAGTAGCATGCTTCTTACTTTCTTCTGAGCCCTCACCAGCAGGAATTTTTTTTTTTGAGACCGAGTCTTGCTCTGTCGCTCAGGCTGGAGTGAAATGGCACAATCTCAGCTCACTGTCATCTCCACCTCCTGGGTTCAAGCGATTCTCCTGCCTCAACCTCCCGAGTAGCTGGAATTACAGGCATGCACCGCTGTGTCCAGCTTATTTTTACATTTTTAGTAGAGACAAGGTTTCACCATGTTGCCCAAGCTGGTCTTGAACTACTGACCTCAAGTACCTAAGTATATGGAAGGATATGCATAGGTTATATGCAAATAGCATGCCGTTTTACATAAGGGATTTTAGCATCTGCAGATTTTGGTGTGAGTGGGGAATCCTGGAACCAGTTCCCTGAAGATACTGAGGGACAACTATAGATAAATGAAAGTACATAGAAACATTTTGATAATGAGTACAGAATCCTTATACTACAAAAATGTTGCTCATATTTACAGGGTGACTAGGAAACTATAAATTGGGACTATTAGCACAGAAAAAAGTCAGGGCAGTGCCATTGTTTCTGCTCCTTTACTGTTTCAGCCATCGAATCTTTTTTTTTTTTTTTTTGAGATGGAGTTTCACTCTTGTTACCCAGGCTGGAGTGCAATGGCATGATCTCGGCACACCGCAACCTCAGACTCCCAAGTAGCTGGGACTACAGGCGTGCACCACCATGCCCAGCTAATTTTTGTATTTTTAGTAGAGACAGGGTTTCACCATGTTGACCAGGATGGTCTCAATCTCTTGACCTTGTGATCCACCCACCTTGGCCTCCCAAAGTTCTGGGATTATAGGTGTGAGCCACCTCACCCGGCAGCCATTAAATCTTATATGCCAGACCTGTCCTGGGGTGGAGTTGGAGGTAAAAAGTAAAAATACAAGATAGGATTCAAGTAGAGAAAGGCCTGTAAATCTGAAGTTTGGTGATTTAAAGGCTAACAGTTTTTCCAAAGTCCTGCAAGGACCTGAGCCTGGCTCAGCTGACTACACATAGATGGTTGGTAGGGCCTCATTAATAAATCTGCAGTTTTTTTCTTTTCTTTTTTTTTTTTTTTTTTTTTGACAGGATCTCACTTTGTCACCTAGACTCTGGAGTGCAGTTGCAGTGGAGTGATCATGGCTCACTGCAGCCTTGACCTTCTGCACTCACTTGATCCTCCCACCTCAGCCTCCTGATTAGCTGGGACCACAGGTGTGTGCCACTATGCCCAGCTAATATTTTTTTTGGTAGAGATGGAGTTTTACCATGTTGCCCAGGCTTGTCTCATCTCAAACTCCTGAGCTCAAGTGATCTGCCTGCCTTGGCCTCCCAAAGTGCTGGAATTATAGGCATGAGCCACTACGCCCAGCTGTTATTGAACTAATTATTGCGAACTTTACATAGATCTGTTGTTTTAAAGTGTCTCCTTTAAAACAACAGCTCTGTCCACGTTTCATGCAAGAGGAAAAAAATGAGAACAGAAAGGTAAGCACTATCATGCCAGTTTCATGGCAGAAGAAAAATTACACTGGTTGAGTAAGTCATCTAAGGCCACAGAGCTAATAAGTGGTGAAACCAGGCTATGAATCCCGGATGTCTTAACTCTCAAATGGGAAGTAGGCATCAACCAATCAGATTAGTCAAGTGGCAAAGGCATAAAGGAAGGGGAACTGCAGGCAAAAGGAGCAGCATGAACAAAGGCAGACTCAGTGTGAGCAGAGAAAGGAAAGCCATTTAGCAGACTGGCGAGATAGGTGTGACTTTCATTGATTGCAACCCTAAAGAATTTTACATAAATCTTAACTGAAGATTTAATAGTGGGCTGGGGGCAAGGCCTCATTCTCATCTACCCAATGATGTCACCAAACACTAAATCTTGTCTCCTGAGCTCTGAAGTGGCTGACAGTTGGTATTACCTTTTGTCTGACATCCCGCAGGACTATTTTCTCCAGCATTGTAAGCAGATCTCAAGACTCATTCTGACTAGGTCAGCTTGGGTCTTAAGCCCACCAGTCACCATGCCTAGGGAGATGGGATGGATGGATTAGCTTAATCTAGCGCTTGATCCACACTGAAAGCTGGAGATGCAGTTCCCTTCCCTACAACCAGAGGGCTCCCCAAATGGAACTGAGATAAGTGGATAGGGGGAGCAGATGCTAGGACAACATTGATAACACCTCTTGAATCCCGTTAGTGTGTGATCTCTGCATCCTAGAGTCGGAGATTTAATGGATAAAGGTTGTATGGACATGTTGAGAAGGACTCGTTTGAGTGAGGAATGACCCTGCTTGTTTGAGATCAGATATTTAAGGTAAAAGTTAAGCTGCTTGAAACCAGGCACAGTGACTCACACCTGTCATCTCAGCACTGGGAGGCTGAGGTGGGCGGATCACAAGGTCAGGAGTTCATGACCAGCCCGACCAACATAGTGAAAACCCATCTCTACTAAAAATACAAAAATTAGCTGGGCATGGTGGCACATGCCTGTAGTCCTAGCTACTAGGGAGGCTGAGGCAGGAGAATCGCTTGAACCCGGGAAGTTAAGGCTGTGGTGAGCCAGATCACTCCACTGCACTCTAGCCTGGGCAACAAAGCGAGACTCCGTCTAAAAAAGTTAAGCTGCTTGAACAAAAGACCCCCCCACAAATACAGAGACCTTAACAAGACATGTTTTTATTTTTTTCATTTTACAGAGCTCAGTGTTCCAGAGCTGGGAGGGGGGACTCTGGCATCTTCACAATACTTTCATTTCTGAACTCAGGTTGGCTGATCCATGGGACACCTCGCAGTTAGCAGAGAAGGGAAAGGGCAAAGGATGTATATTTTTGTCATGACTTCGTCTAAGTGACACACAGCTCTTTGACTCGATTCTCATTAGCCATTCTTTATAAATCATAAACCAGACAGGTGGGAAGATGGGATCTGTAGTCGGTGGTCATATGCCCACTTAAAACTTGTCACATTTCAGACATGAGATTCTGGTGACTATTGTAAGTACTTTTCCTGTTCTTTCTGACCCTCAACTACATGTCAGCTGCTTCTCTCTCTGACTTGTGCCTTATGGCTGCTGCTAGGGTGCCCATCACTAGTTAGGTCCCGTGGTGGAGGGAGTACCTGCAACTGAGGCACCATGTTTGAAAGGGGAAAGCAGCTGTAACGGAATTTGCTGCGGGTCCTCAACACACCACAGCTCTCATTGCTGACACCATGCGGAGGAACCATCAGAACCTTTCCTACCAGGGACCTCTCTTCTCTTCCTGGCCCTTGTCTAAGGATCTTCGGGTCCCAGCAATGTGACCAGGACACAGTGACCGCACTTCTCAACCACCCTCCTCCGCTAAGTAAGTGGCACTTTTTGCCTGAAACTTAAATTTTTATTTTAAAAGGGGATGATCTCAAGCACTGTCTAGCTCTGAAGGGCCCCGCGATTACAGCAGACGAGCTGAGAAAAAGTAGACAAGGCCCTAAGAAGTAACAGGGGGCCGGGCGCGGTGGCTCAAGCCTGTAATCCCAGCACTTTGGGTAGCCGAGACTGGTGGATCACGAGGTCGAGAGATCGAGACCATCCTGGTCAACATGGTGAAACCCCGTCTCTACTAAAAATACAAAAAACTAGCTGGGCATGGTGGCGCGTGCCTGTAATCCCAGCTACTCGGGAGGCTGAGGCAGGAGAATTGCCTGAACCCAGGAGGCGGAGGTTGCGGTGAGCCGAGATCGCGCCATTGCACTCCAGCCTGGGTATCAAGAGCGAAACTCCGACTCAAAAAAAAAAAAAAAGAAGTAACAGGGAAACGTGAAGGAGTTTACGAAGCCCAGCCAGCTTTAACTCCTGCAGACGCACACTCCAGCTCCCACTACAGGAGCTGCTGGGGCCGTAGATCCATCGTCGCAGTCAGAGGTGAGGTCGAGTAATTTCCAAAAGGGAATATTTGCTCTCACAGAAAAACCAAGAAGGAAGCCAGTGGACTTAGAGTAGCGGCAATAACTCAGCCTTCCACACAACCGCGTCCAGCGCCGCCTGCCTCCGCAGTGCCGTTAGTGAACGCAAAACATTTTGTATCGCTTGTTTCAAGAGCAAGACCCGCCGCCCGGAAGGAGTCCAAAAATAGTCCCACTGCGCAAGCGCAACTTTGCCCCGCCCACTCTCACGTACGCGTGTGATGGTGCCACGTGCTGGCGCTACTGGAAGACTGCCTGTCAGAGTGCGCTGCCAATGTCTCTCCCAACCTTTAGCCGGATCTCCCTTTCACTTCCGGTCCCTTTCTTTTACGTTTCCGACAAAAACATCAGTCTCTGTGGGCAGTTAGAATCTTCAGTTCCTTTGAGCGTCGGCTTCCTCTGAGCCTGTGGCGTTACTTGGACTGGGGCCGCGGGGCTTCAGGACGGCGCCCTTAGCGACACCATGGTGAGTGGGGTGGGCGGGTGAGGGAGCGAGTGGATAGATGGGCAGGCCATGGGGGCATCCAGCCGCCTGGGTCGCTCATGGCCTAGGGGCTCAGGCTTGCAATGCGGAGGGCTTCAGCTTACTTGGTGTAACGAGGATATTCTCTTCCTGCCTCGCTTAGCTGTCAGAAATTGGAAAACTGGAACCCCGGGAGCCGCGTTACCGACCTAGACAGTGTCTTAATCTCGATGAATCTCTTTACGTTATTGAGAGGGAAACTGAGACACGGAGAGGCACTAGGGCCCGCTCCGAGTTACGGTGCATATAGTGTGTGGTCGGCTGTTTGTCCTAAATACCAAAGAGAAGATTAAGAGCAGTTGTGACCGTATGTTTTTGGGATATTTCATTCATGTCCGTTCTCAGTTGCTCCATAATATACAAACATCTCGAGGGTAGGGTCTTTTCATTATTGCTTCCTTAATGTCTAACACAGAGTCGTTGTAGATGTACAGTAACTATTGAATAAGTGAATGGCATAGACAAGAAATGTTCCATGAGGGTGTGATCTCTGTGGTCTGCGTCATTTGTTGGTTTCTTCATTTCTTCGAGAAGCATTTATGATGTGTAAATGTGAGAGAATACACCCAGTGCCGGTACAAATATGATGATTGGTTACTGTAATATTGGCTGCTGTATTATTTTCATTAAGTGAAGCCCGGATAAGAAACACGGAACGGGCGCGGTGGCTCAAGCCTGTAATTCCAGCACTTTGGGAGGCCAAGGGGGGTGGATCACAAGGTCAAGAGATCGAGACCATCCTGGTCAACACGGTGAAACCCCATCTCTACTAAAAATACAAAATATTAGCTGGGCATGGTGGCACGTGCCTGAAATCCCAGCTACTCAGGAGGCTGAGGCAGGAGAATTGCCTGAACCCAGAAGGCGGAGGTTGCTGTGAGCCGAGATTGCGCCATTGCACTCCAGCCTGGGTAACGAGCGAAACTCCGTCTCAAAAAAGAAAAAAAGAAAAAAAAAAAAAAAAAAAAAGAAACACGGGATGTCACGGTTAGGTTATAGGAGATATGAAGTCATTGCAGATTGATGAGGGCACTCTCCCAAGAAAAAGAGAATCCAGTGAAGTAAAAGTAGCCCTTTTTGTGAGAAGATATGTCCCAAATTACTGCCGTGTTTGCCTATCTACCAAGCATTTGACAAGTTTATTCATGTGTCAGTTCAAGGGGAGAGTCTCAAAGGAGATTTAAATTGAACTCACTTTTGCTGAGTGTCTATAAACTGCATGCCTGGCGTATTTATCTTATGAAGATATCCTGACATCTCTGAGATGAGGTGTCATCTCTGTTGTTAAAGATGGGGAAACTGAGGTATAGAGAGACTACTTCTCAGAGATGTAAGTGGAAGAACTGGGAATGTAAGTCCCTGACTTAGCCAGGACTCTTTCTACCTAAACTGCAACCCAGAAAACTCGTTCTCTGCCAGACACTGTGTTTCAGGGATAATTGAGTTAACATTTAGTGTGACAGCACTTACCTAAAACTCACTTTACAAAAGTCAGTCTTCAGACTTATTTTCCCCAAATACCACTGGCAGGGAACAGAAAATTGTGATGCTGGGTGTTAAGTCCCACAGTAAGTATAATCCCTGATAGAGGACACCAGCCTAACTGGGAAGGAGGGTGTCACAGAATAATGTTCTGGGTGGTCCTAACACAAGTAAAATTTGAAGGAAGAATAATGGAAGTTAGCCAGATACAAGGTGTTAGGGTCAGTGGAGGAGTAAAGATTTTAAGTAGAGGGAAAAGCAGCTGGTCACAGGATTGGGACATCTTTTGACTTTTGTTGTTTATTGTTGTTCATACAGTAGTTCAGGTGATTTGCTTGGGACTATATCCTTGTAAAACTTTTCACTAAAAAGTAAATGGAAAGAAAAAGATGTATTTTAAACATGGGCATGTTTCTTCCCTTTTCTCTTCTTCCAGGCCCGAAATGCAGAAAAGGCCATGTAAGTATCAACTTGTTTTTGGCTGTACATTTTTTGTAACTAAATACCCACCATGTAACTCTTTTTGTATTTCCTCTTTTTGTTATCTGAGCCTTTGGAGAAGCTGTTTCTTTCTCTACATATGTTAAAAATAGAATTCCCATATTTGTCCATTTGTTTTCTCCTTTTGTGTTTTCTCACAGTTTCCAGAACTTACACAGGATGAACATTTGCTCACCTCTGGTTGGTGCAGGGGTTGTGAGATTGACAGCTAGAGAACACCATGATGTTAGTCTTTTAACATCTGGATGTATTGCTCATCACAGTGGTCTAATAAGTAGAATTTGCCACAGTCCTTATGTGTAGTGTAAGTAAAATAGATACTTGGGTGTTCAGGAATACAAATTGCATCATAAACCCTACTCCTGATAACATGGAATCCCTAACTACACTGTGGTTTCTTAATTGCAATACATATATATGAATGACATTAATTATGGTCATAAGCAGATACACCCCATCCAGGAACATGGGTAATGAGAAGTCTGTGTGAGCAGGATCTAATGGAGTCTCTTATATCCCTGGTAGGACGGCCTTAGCAAGATTTCGCCAGGCTCAGCTGGAAGAAGGAAAAGTGAAGGTTGGTGTAAATCTTCCCCATGAATTGTAAAGTATCAATGCAGAATGGGTACAGTGACTCATACTTGTAATCCTGGTACTTTGGGAGGCTGAGGTGGGTGGATCACTTGAGTGTAGGAGTTTGAGACCAGTCTGGGTAACATGGTAAAACCCCTTCTTTACAAAAAATACAAAGATTAGCCTAGCCAGGGATGGTGGTACCCGCCTGTAGTCCCAGCTACTGGGGAGGCTGAGGCAGGAGGATTGCTTGAATGTAGGAGTGTTACATTACAGTGAGCCATGATTATGCCACTGTATTCCAGCCTGGGTGATGGAGTGAAAACCTGTCTCCAAAAAAAAAATGCTGAGTGCAGTGGCTCATGCCTGTAATCCCAACATTTGGGGGGCTGAGGGGAATGGATCACTTGAGGTCAGGAGTTTGAGACCATCCTGGCCAACATGGTGAAACCCTGTCTCTACTAAAAATTCAAAAATTAGCTGGGCATGGTGGTGGGCACCTGTAATCCTAGCTACTCAGTAAGCTGAGGCAGAAGAATCACTGGAGCCCTGGAGACTAAGGATGCAGTGAGCCAAGATCATGCCACTGCACTCCAGCTGGACAGACTTCAAACTGCAAATTTTCCTATTTCTTGTCTGTACTTGCTGACACTCTTGAGAGTCTGTACACCTGAATTCCAGTACCTCCCCATAACTGAGGCAGGATGATGGATCTGGCTGCTTGTTTTTCAGTTTCTTCTGTATTACAATGGCTGGGTCCTTTATTACTCCAGCTCTAATACTGAATAATAGGGAGTGGAGTATGATGTGGAGAACAGCTGTAAGCTGAAACCAGTAAATGATTTCATCTCTTAGAGACAGCCAGATTAGAGATAATGTATACCATTCTTTGAATTTTTTTTTTGTTTTTTAAAAAGTTTATATACACATATTTATGTATATTTATTTTAAACACTGATAGACATTTTTTCTTAAGGTAGTATAAATATGCCATGAAATAGATAGAAACTAGTTTAGCTGTCTCTCTCTTGCAGGACAATTAAGTTGTTTCCAGTACTAAATACAATGCAATGAATGTTTTTCTTAAGGAGAGTTTGTAGAATGAGGTTTAAGGCTTGATGAGGATCATCTGGAATGAAAATGTCAACTGTATTTAGGCCATTAGATGATTTGGGCTTAAGGCCTGAATCAATTATGAATGTTAGGATGAAACTTGTAAGTAGTCTAATGGCAATGTGTTATTTTTTTCTCCTTAGGAACGAAGACCCTTTCTGGCCTCAGAATGTACTGAGCTGCCCAAAGCTGAGAAATGGAGACGACAGGTATGTTCTGGGTAAATCTGATTTCAGTAGAAGTAACAAATCTCATTGCTTCTTCTTATCTAAATGACTGTTAAACCAAAAGTCTAAGTATTTTTAAATACTAACTTTGAATTGTAGTTTTCTGTGGTTTCTAACATATTCAAAAATCATTAAAATGAATTACTTTTTTTAAATAGATCATTGGAGAGATCTCTAAAAAGGTGGCTCAGATTCAGAATGGTAAGCAAACTTCTTCCTTTAAAGTGGTTGTTTCTCAAATCCACAATTAGACTTGAAGAATTCAACACTCCTCACAATAATCAATAGAACAAGTAGACAGTAAATCAGTAAGAACATAGAAGAGCTGATCAATATGATCAGTCAGTTTGATCTAGTTGAAAGTTATAGACTACTCTACCTCACAACACTCTACCTGACAAAAAAGAATACATGGGTTTTTTTAAGGGCACATTGGAACGCTCACCAAAATAAAACATTCTGGGCTGCAGAACAAATGTTAGCAAATTTAAAATATTTGAAATTATACGAAGTATTTTCTCTGATTATAACAACAGATTCATATCTGAAAAATCCCTAAATATTTGGAAATTAAACAACACACTTGTAAATAAGTCATGTGTCTAAGAGGAAACAACAAGGAAATTAGAAGATATTTTGAATTTAATTACAGTGAAAATGTAATGTCAAAATTTAGGGAATGAAAACATTTATGGGATATAGCGCTTAGATAAAAATGTATAGCACCAGCCGGCGCAGTGACTCCTGCCTATAATTCTAGCATTTTGGGAGGCCAGTGCTAGAGGCTAGGTAGATCGTGAGGTCAAGGTATAGAGACTATCCTGGCCAACATGGTGAAACCCTGTCTCTACTAAAAGTATAAAAATTAGCTGGGTGTGGTGGCGTGTGCCTGTAGTCCCAGCTAATCGGGAGGCTGAGACATAAGAATCACTTAAACCCAGGAGGCAGAGGTTGCAGTGAGCCAAGATCACATCACTGCACTCCAGCCTGGCAACAGAGTGAGACTCTGTCACAAAAAAGAAAGAAAGAAAGGAAGAAAGACAGACAGAGAGAGAGAGAAAGAAAGAAAAAAATGTATAGCACTGAAATAACAGAAAATTAACAAAGTTTCAAATTGGTGATCCAAACTTCTACCCTGTGAAATTAGAAAAGAAGAGCAAATTAAACCCAAAGCAAGCAAAGGAAGGAAATAGTAAAAGTAAGAAATCAAAAACATTGAAAACAAGATGAACAGAGAAAATAAACCAACAGCTGGTTCTTTGAAAAGATCAAGAAAATTAATAAACTTCTAGTGATACTGACCAAGAAAAAATGTACACAAATTAAGAATATTAGGGACTAGGCCAGGTGCAGTGGCTCACGCCTATAATCCCAGCACTTTGGGAGACCAAGGCAGGTAGATCATGAGGTCAAGAGATTGAGACCATCCTGGTCAACATGGTGAAACCCCATCTCTACTAAAAAAAAATACAAAAATTAGCTGGGCATGGTGGCGCGCCCCTGTAGTCCCAGCTACTTGGGAGGCTCCATCTCAAAAAAAAAAAAAAAAAGAATATTAGGAACTAAATTGGGAATATTACTGCAGACTCTACAGACGTTAAAAGGATGATAAGGAAATATTGCAGACAATTTTGTGTCCATAAATTGGCAACTTAGTTGAAATAGGTCAATTCCTCATAAGACAGAAACCTCTAGCTGAAGCTCACTTAAGAGAAATGTACACAAATTAAGAATATTAGGAACTAGGCCGGGCGCGGTGGCTCACGCTTATAATCTCAGCACTTTGGGAGGCCAAGGCAGGTGGCCTAGCAATATGTAAAGAAAAATGGTTCTTTTTTTTTTGAAACAGAGTCTCACTCCGTCACCCAGGCTGGAGTGCAGTGGCACGATCTTGGCTCACTGCAACCTCTACCTCCCTGGTTCAAGCAATTCTCCTGGCTCAGCCTCCAGACTAGCTGGGATTACAGGTACCTTCCATCGTGCCTGGCTAATTTTTGTATTTTTTTAGTAGAGATGGGGTTTTACCATGTTGGACAGGCTGGTCTTAAACTCCTGACCTCAGATGATCCACCCACCTCGGCCTCCCAATTACAGGTCTGAGCCACTGTGCTTGGCTGAGAAGTGATTCCTAACCAGGTTAACCAGGGGCCTTCCCTCTGCCACCCTCATGACATTTAGCAATGTCTGAAGAAATTTTTGATTGTCACACTTGAGGGGTGTTACTGGCATATGATGGGTAGAGGCCAGGGATGTGCTAAGCATCCTATAAATAATTATCCTGAATAAACCACAGTGTCAGTAATTCTACTGTTTAGGGACAAAGTTCAAGAAGAAATGGTAAACCTGAGTAGTCCTGTTTCTGTTAAAGAAATTGAGGCTGAGCACCATGGCTCACACCTGTAATCCCAGCCATTTGGGAGGCTGAGGTGGATGGATCATCTTGAGGTAAGGAGTTCAAGACCAGCCGGGCCAACACGGTGAAACCCCATCTCTACTAAAAATACAGAAATTAGCCAGGTATAGTGATGCATACCTGTAATCCCAGCTACTTGGGAGACTGAGGCAAGAGAATCACTTTAACTCAGGAGACAGAGGTTGCAGTGAGCCAAGATTGGGCCACTGCACTCCAGCCTGGGAGACAGAGTGAGACTCCATCTCAATTTAAAAAAACAAGAAAGAAAGAAATTGACTTCTAAAAACCTTCCTACAAAGAAAATTCCAGGCCCAAGATGGCCTCACTGGTCAGTTCTACTAGGTATTTAAGGAAGAAATAATACCAACTCTGCTTAGTTTCCTCAAGAAAATGGAAGAAGAGGGAACACTTTTTGACAGATTTTATGACTTTTAGTATCAGCATTACCCTGATGTTAAAATCAGAAAAAGATATTATGAGAAATAACTACAGACCAATATTTCCTATGAATATAGACAGAAATCTTTAACCTAGCAATATGTAAAAAGGATAATACATCACAACTAAGTAGGATTTCTAAACCGTAGTTGATTAACATTCAAATATAAGTTAATTCATTATGTTATTCTGAAGAAGAAAAACTGTATGATGATCTAAGTAGATGCAGAAAAAGCATTTGACAAAATTTGATGCTTACTCATGATAACAATTCAGCAAGCCAGGCCTGGTGGCTCACACCTGTAATCCTAGCACTTTGGGAGGCTGGCTGAGGTGGGCAGATCACCCAAGGTCAGGAGTTCGAGACCAGCCTGATCATCATGGTGAAACCCCATCTCTTAAAAAACAAACAAACAAAAAAACCAGAATTCAGCAAACAGACTAAAAGGGAACTTTTTACCCTGATAAAGCACTCTTTTTTATTTATTTATTTTTTGTAGAGACGGGGTTTTACCATGGTCTCGATCTCTTGACCTCGTGATCCACCCGTCTCGGCCTCCCAAAGTTCTGGGATTACAGGCCTGAGCCAGTGTGCCTGGCACTTTAAAAAAAATTTTTTTTTTTTAATTGAGATGGAGTTTTGCTCTTGTTGCCTACGCTGGAGTGCAATGGCATGATCTTGGCTCAGTGCAACTTCTGCCTCCCTGGTTCAAGTGATTTTCCTGCCTCAGCCTCCTGAGTAGCTGGGATTACAAGTGCCAACCACCACACCTTGCTAATTTTTGTATTTTTAGTAGAGACAATTTTCACCATGTTGGTCGGACTGGTCTCAAGCTCCCAACCTCAGATGATCTACCTGCTGTGGCCTCCCACAATGCTAGGATTACAGGCATGAGCCACCATATCCAGCCCTGAAAAAGCACTTCTAACAAGAAACCCACAGCCAATAAACTATTTAATGGTGAAGGATTGAATGCTTTCCTCCTAAGATCTGGAACAAGGCGAAGACACCAATTCTTACCACTCATATTCAGCATGATGCTAGAAATCCTAGCCAGTGCAGTAAAATAAGGAAATAAAAGGCATACAGATTAGAAAGTAACAAACTCTCTTTATTGTAATGTAGAAAATCCCTCATAATTTTCTTTTTTTGAGATGGAGTCTCGCTCTGTCACCCAGGGTTGAGTGCAGTGGCACGATCTTGGCTCACTGTAACCTCCGCCCACTGGGTTCTAGTGATTCTCTTGCCTCAGCCTTCCAAGTAGCTGGGGCCACAGGCATGCATGCTAATTTTTGTATTTCTAGTAGAGATGGAGTTTTGCTATGTTGGCCAGGCTGGTCTCAAACTCCCTACCTCAGGTGATACTCACGCCTCTGCCTCCCAAAGTACTGGGATTACAGGCGTGAACCACCATGCCTGGCTGAAAATCCTACATAATTTTGTATGTTGAAAATCACAAGGAACCTATAGAAAGACTTCTAAAATAGATAAGTGAGTTTATCAAGGTCACAGAAAAAAAAGTTCAATATACAAAATTTTATATATATGTGAATATATGTATATATATATATATATATTTTTTTTTTTTTTGAGACAGAGTCTTGCTCTGTTGCCCAGGCTGGAGTGCAGTGGCCTAACCTTGGCTCACTGCAACCTCTGCCTCCCAGTTTCAAGTTATTCTCCTGCCTCAGCCTCCCAAGTAGCTGGGACTACAAGCATCCACCACCACACCTGGCTAAGTTTTGTATTTTCAGTAGAGATGGGGTTTCCTCATGTTGGCCAGGTTGGTCTTGAACTCCTGGGCTCAAGTGATCTGCCTGCTTCAGCCTCTGAAAGTACTGGGATTATAGGGGTGAGCCACCACACTTGGCCTCAAAATTATATTTTTATATACTGACATTGAACAACTGGAAATACAACATTTTTTAAAAGTGCTATTTGCAAAAGCACCAAAACACAAGAAATACTTAGGTATAAATCTAACAAAATACAGTCAGGATCTGTATGCTGAAAACTAGGATGCAATGATGAAAGAAACCAAAGAGGACCCAAATGAATGGAGAGATATATTGTGCTCTTGTATAGGAGGACTTAACACAGTACAGAGATCGATTCTTTCTCTCTTCAAATACATCACAATCAGATTTCTAACAAAATTTCTTGTTTATGTTGACATGCTGTATCTAAAATTTAATTGGAAAGGCAAAGGAACTACAATAGCCAAAACAATTTTGAAAAGGAACACAATTGGAACATTCATATCACCCGATTTCAAGATGTAATGGAAAGCTTCAGGATTCCAGTTAATGTGGTATTGGTGAAAGGATAGGCACATAGACCAAGGAAACAGAATTAGAAGTCTAAAAACAGAGCCACACATAAATGGTCAGTTGACTTTTGTTTTTGGAGACATAGCCTTGTTCTGTCTGTCACCCAGGGTGGAGTACAATGGTGCAGTCATAGCTCACTGCAGTCTCCACCTCCTGGGCTCAAGTGATCCTTTTGCCTCAGTCTCTTAGGTAGCTGGGACTGCACACCATGCCACCATACCCGGCTATTTTTTTTTTTTTTTTTTTTTTGAGATAGAGTCTCACACTCTGTTGCCCAGGCTGTAGCATGATCTCAGCTCAGTGCCACCTCCACCTCCCAGGTTCAAGCAGTTCTGCCTCAGCCTCCTGAGTAGCTAGGATTACAGGCACATACCACCATGCCCAGCTAATTTTTGTATTTTTGTAGAGACAGGGTTTTGCCATGTTGGTCAGGCTGGTCTCCAGCTGCTGACCTGGTGATCTGCCTGCCTCAGCCTCCCAAAGTGCTCGGATTACAGGTGTGAGCCCCTGTGCCCGGCATGCCTGGCTAATTTTTTTTTTTTTTTTTTGAGACAGCGTTTCACTCTTATTGCCCAGGTTTGAGTGCAATGGCACAATCTCGGCTCACCACAACCTGCCACCTGGTTTCAAGCAATTCTCCTGCCTCAGCCTCCAGAGTAATTGGGATTACAGGCATGTGCCACCACACTCAACTAATTTTTTGTGTTTTTACTAGAGACAGGGTTTCTCCATGTTGGTCAGGCTAGTCTCCAACTCCCGACCTCAAGTGATCTGCCTGCTTTCACCTCCCAAAATGCTGGGATAACAGGTGTGAGCCACCATGCCTGGCCCTGAATGGCTAATTTTAAATTGTTTGTAAAGATGGGCTCTTTCTGTGTTGCCCAGGCTGGGCTCAAGCAGTCTTCTCATCTATGTCTCCTAAAGTGTTGAGATTACAGGCAGGAGCCACTGTGCCTGGCCTGGTCAGTTTACTTTTGACAAAGGTATGCAAACAATTCAGTAGAGAAGAGAGACAAAGAACTCTTAAAAATTCATCAATAAGAAAATATAATTTGTTTTAAGAAGTGGGCAAAATTTTGAACAGATACTTTACCAAAGAAAATATGTAGACTGGGCACAGTGGCTCACACCTGTAATCCCAGCACTTTGGGAGGTTGAGGCAGGTGGATCACTTCATGCCAGGAGTTGGAGACCAGCGTGGCCAACATGGTAAAAGCCTGTCTCTAGTAAAAATACAAAAATTAGCTGGGTGTGGTGGCTCATGCCTGTAATCCCAACTGCTTGGGAGGCTGAGGCATGAGGATAGCTTGAACTGGGGAGGCGGAGGTTGCAGTGAGCTGAGATTGTACCACTGCACTTCAGCCTAGGCAACAGAGCAAGACTCTGTCTCAAAAAATATATATATGTATACGTAGAGGCAGATGAGCATCTTTTCATGTGTTTAACATAATAGTCATAAAGGAAATGCAGATTAAAACAACAGTGGGATACTACACACCTGTTAGAATGACTTAAACAAATAGTGGCAATGCCAAGTGCTGGCAAATATGTGAAGTAACGAACTCTTATGCACTGCTGGTGAGAAAGCAAAATGGAGCAGCTACTTTAGAATGGGGTTTGGTAAAGTTAAACATACACATACCTATGATCCAGCATTTCCATTCCTAGGTATTTGTCCAAGAGAAATGTAATCCTTTTCTGTTACACAACAACTCATACATAATGTTTATAGTAGCTAAAAATTGGAAGGAACCCAAAGGTCCTTTTGACGAATCGTTAAACAAACTGAGGTCTATATAATAAAATAATACTTAATAATAACAAACAGGCCGGGCGCGGTGGCTCACGCCTGTAATCCCAGCACTTTGGGAGGCCGAGGCGGGTGGATCATGAGGTCAAGAGGTCGAGACCATCCTGGCCAACATGGTGAAACCCCGTCTCTACTAAAAATACAAAAAATTAGCTGGGCATGGTGGCGCGTGCCTGTAATCCCAGCACTTTGGGAGGCTGAGGCGGGTGGATCACAAGATCAAGAGATCGAGACCATCCTGGTCAACAAGGTGAAACACCGTCTCTACTAAAAAATACAAAAATTAGCTGGGCATGGTGGCGCGTGCCTGTAGTCCCAGCGACTCGGGAGGCTGAGGCAGGAGAAATGCCTGAACCCAGGAGGCGGAGGTTGCAGTGAGCCGAGATCGCGCCATTGCACTCCAGCCTGGGTAACAAGAGCGAAACTCTGTCTCAAAAAAAGAAAATAAGAAAACGTGTGATTCTTGTTTTCTTCAAGATGCCTTGGCTTTGGGAGAGGATGCCAGAAGCCCTCACTTGGTGTTGGTTGAGGCCCTCAGAGGATTGACTGCCTTGAGTTCTCTGTGTCTTTAGCACTGGAAAGTCTTACCATTGTGGTAGTGGCAAGTTTTTTTCCTTCTTCTTTTTCTTCTTTTTTTTTTTTTTGAGACGGAGTCTCCCTCTGTCACCCAGGCTGGAGTGCAATGGTGTGATCACAGCTCATTGCAACGGTGTGATCACAGCTCATTGCAACCTCTGCCTTCTGGGCTCAAGTGATTCTCCTGCCTCAGCCTCTGGAGTAGCTGGGACTTACAGGCGCATGCCACTATGCCTGGCTAATTTTTGTATTTTAGTAGAGATGGGGTTTCACCATATTGGCCAGGCTGGTCTCAAACTTCTGACCTCATGATCCGCCTGCTTTGGCCTCCCAAAGTGCTGGGATTACAGGCAGCAGCCACTGCGCTCGGCTGTCTTGCTGTCTTTTTCCTTCTTAACAGAACAGAACATGGGAGTGGGAGGTTGTAAAAAAAATTTTTTTTTTTTTTTGAGACAGAATCTTGCTCTAATTGCCCAGGCTGGAGTGCAGTGGTGCAATCTCGGCTCATTGCAACCTCTGCCTCCTGGGCTCAAGCAATTCTGACTCAGCTTCCCAAGTAGCTGGAATTACAAGTGTGCGCCACCACTCCTGGCTAATTTTTGTATTTTTAGTAGAGACAGGGTCTCCCCATGTTAGCCAAGGCTGGTCCTGAACTCCTGACCTCAAGTGATCTTCCCTCCTCAGCCTCCCCAAATGCTGGGATTATAGGCATGAGCCATCGCACCTAGTTATAATGTATTCTTTTTACTTGACTTTTTTTTTTTTTCTCACTCGGTCACCCAGGCTGGAGTACAGTGGTGCAATCACAGCTCACTGCAGCCTCTGCCTCCAGGGCTCAAGTGAATCTCTCACCTAAGCCTCTCAAGTAGCTGGAACCACAGGCATGTGCCACCACACCCAGTTAATTTTAAATATTTTTGGTGGAGATGGGATTTCACCACGTTGCTCAGGCTGGTCTTGAACTCCTGAGCTTAAATGATCTGCCCACCTTGGCTTCCCAAAGTGCTGGGATTACAGGGGTGAGCCACCACACCTCACCTCTTTGACTTTTTTTTTTTTTAAATGGACTTTATCCAGGCAAGAATTCCATACAATAAAATTCACTTGTTTTTAATGTAGAGTTGGATGAGTTGCAGCAGATTTGTATACTCACGTAAGCAACCACCTCCACAAGCAATATCCATCAGCCCTAGAGGTACTCTCGTGCCCATCTGCTAGAGCATCAGTCTCAGCTGTAATCCAGATTTAAGAGCCCTTCTGGACTTGCTGTTGTCATCTAACATTACTTCTTTTTTTATTTTTTTCCCTCCTTGCTGGGCACATCCAACATTACTTCATAAAGGCCTTGCTGTATCTCCACTGTGTGCAAATTGTCCCTTCCAACAGCCATATGATATTTCATTTCAATGTATTAAGGTTTGTTAACCATTTTCCCTCCTCCATGGTGTGATGCCCCAGTTCCACCACAGCGAAATTTGTGCACATCCCTTTCAATTAGTCCCTTAGGCTTAATTCTCAGGCCTGTAGTCCTTGCTAAAAAAATTTTCCCATATAGCAATACATTGCTTTCCTAAAAAGGCTAAATCATCATGGAATGCTGCCAGCCCTGGGTGCCCATCCCAGCCTCATTGCGTCTTTGCTGACCTTGGATGCTGCCTCCCCTCCCTCTTAGGAGCTTGTTATTTTAGTAGTTGTATAAATATAACTGCCGGGTCATTTCAGGGTTGTTTATATTTTTTAATTGCTAATGAGGATGAAGTTATTTTCAAGGATTTTTTTTTTCTTGTTATGCTAGTGGGAACTCTTTATAATTCTTGTCCTTTTATTTATTCGGGTGGTTTTTCTTATCAATTTAGATGAGTATTTTTATGTAGTATGCCTTTGTAGGTGTTGACATTTATTTTAAGGGAATGATACGGAGTGTACGTGTTGGAGGTGTTGACATTCATTTTTATGGAATGATGTTGTTAACCTTTTTGTTTTCTAGCTGGTTTAGGTGAATTTCGAATTCGTGACCTGAATGATGAAATTAACAAGTTGCTGCGGGAGAAAGGACACTGGGAGGTCCGGATAAAGGAGCTGGGGGGTCCTGATTACGGAGTGAGTACATGGCAGCCCCAGTGGTGAATCTCATCTAGTTTTCTAGCCCTAGCAGTTCCCAGCCTATTCCTGTCATAGTAGTCCCTTGATTCAGGAAACCTATGAACAGGTTGGGTAAGATGATGATGCTGGAAGACTCCACAGCATATGCATCAGAGCAGAGAGGGCAGCTGTATGCACCAGCCAGAAGCCCTTGTAGAAGCTGCTTCATCTCTGGGCCTCGTGTTTAAAATGACCATGAGGCCAGGGGCGGTAGCTCACTCCTATAATCCCAGCATTTTGGGAGGCTGAGGCAGGCAGGTCACTTGAGGTCAGGAGTTCAAGACCAACCTGGCCAATATGGCAGAAGCCTCTTCTAAAAATACAAAATTTAACTGTGTGTCGTGGCATGTACCTGTAATCCCAGCTACTTGGGAGGCTGAGGCAGGAGAACCACTTGAACCTGGAAGACAGAGGTTGCAGTGAGCCAAGGTCACCACTGCATTCCAGCCTGGGCAATGTAGTAAGACTCTGTCTCAAAGAAAAAAAAAATGACTATGGTTCTTCACTGGGAGCAGTGGCTCATGCCTGTAATCCTAATACTTTGGGAGGCTAAGTCAGGAGGAGCTCTTGAGCACAGGAGTTTGAGACCAGCCTGGGCAACACTGTGGGACCCTGAATCTATAAAATATTTAAAAATCGGCTGGGCGTGGTGGCTCATGCCTGAAATCCCAGCACTTTGGGAGGCTGAGGCGGGTGGATCACGAGGTCAAGAGATTGAGACCATCGTGGTCAACATGGTGAAACCCCGTCTCTACTAAAAATACAAAAAATTAGCTGGGCATGGTGACGGGTGCCTGTAATCCCAGCTACTCAGGAGGCTGAGGCAGAATTGCCTGAACCTAGGAGGCGGAGGTTGTGGTGAGCTGAGATCGCGCCATTGCACTCCAGCCTGGATAACAAGAGCGAAACTCCGTCTCAAAAAAAAAAAAAATTTTTTTTTAAATTAGCTAGGCATGGGTAGCACATGCTTATAGTCCCAGTTGCTCAAAAGGATGAGGTGGGAGGATTGCTTGAGCCTGGGAGGTGGAGGCTGCAGTGAGCTGTGATCATGCCACTTGGGTGACAGAGCAAGACCCTGTCTCAAAAAAAAGAAAAAAAGACCATGGTTCCTCACATTCTTTGAGCGCCTTAGAAACTGGAGACAGCCATTTGTTGGCTTTGTTATCTGAGGGGGCCTTAGAGACACTCCATTTTGTCCTTTTTTTGGACTTGTATAAATGTAATACTTCAGAACCCTATCTTTCAAACTTTTAGGAACATGGCTCATTGGTAAAATACACACACACACAATCACAACCCAGCACACACAGAAAGGTGCTGAAAAAAACACTAAGTATGGTATACTTTGATATTTTTTATTTTGTTCTGTTTTGGTTTTTAAAAAATTAATATTTGTGACTTGGTTAACTGATTTCATGACGCACTAATGGGTCTTGGCTTTGAAAATTCCTGCCCCAGAGCCTAATTCATTCACACTTTTGTGATGAGACCTACCTCAGATCACTGGAAACAGTAGTATTTAATCAGTGGACTATAACGTGTTGTGTAAGAAACATGCAGTTTTTCTACTTGTTGATCTTTTCACCCTTGAGAAAGTCTTAACACATAACCATAATTCTCACTCTAGTACATACAGATGGAGCATTCATCCTCTTCCCACTGCAGAAGAGGAAAGGCACTCTCATTTCTGCAGCACCTCTTGTGTCCAGGCACTGCGCTAGGAGCCTTTTCTTGGGCATCTTGCCTAACTTCTTTTCTTCTTTTCATTTGTTTTATTTTTGTTGTTTTTTATTTTTACATGCCAATCTTCTCTAAATTCCAATCTTCACTAAATTGGCATTTTTACATGCCAATCTTGACTAAATCATTCCGATTTTAGTGTATGTCCCGCCAAAGTGAGCACTTGCCTCACCTTTTCAGCAGTTCTGTAGTGGAGATTTTATTTTACCTGGGAAGCTGCTTAAAAGGAGGTCATTAATCCACCTACGAAAGTGGCATCGGACATATTAATTAATGTTTGAAAGGTTAAGTTCCACCACCCAAATTCAACAGTTAATGTTTTTCTATATTTCCTTCCAGAGATTTTTAATGCTTATTAATTTCATTTTTATTTTCTGCATTCAAAAGTAATATGTTATCACTAAGTTCAGAAAAGTACAAAGAAGCAGAACAGCACTCAGTCACAATCCCATTACCTAAGTGCACCCACTTGAATATGCTCTTCCATTGTTTTTTTTTAATCTTTTTTTTTCCATTGTTTTTGTATGAATGCCATAATTGAAACTACACTCACTGTATGTACAATTTTGGTTCTAGGTTTTGTTTTTCTTTTCAAAACAGTAACTTTGATTGTATAAACAGTACATATTTTTGTGCAGAGAAAAGAAAATATACAAAAATTATAAAAAATACATTAGCATATACATTATAGATGTATTATATATTTTATATTTTCCTAGTCCCCAAAATGACTCTAATTAACATTTTCTATTTATCTTTCTAGAATTTGTTCTCAAAATATGTATGTTTACTTTTATAGGAGTTCATTAATATTCTAACTACATGCTTTATCCTCTTAATAGTGTATCAGGAATACAGTTTTATGTCAATAAATTACCATATATTAAGGTAGATATGTATATTAAATTGTTTTATTTTATTCTACTTTAGTTTGTTTCTTTGAGACAGAGTCTCATTCCATCACTTAGGCTGAAGTGCAGTGGTACGATCTTGGCTCACTGCAACCTCTGCCTCCTGGATTCAGGCGATTCTTGTTCCTCAGCCTCCTAAGCAGCTGGGATTACAAGTGTGTACCACCACTTCTGGCTAATTATTATTATTATTTTTTTAATTTAAAGACAGGGTTTCACCATGTTGGTCAGGCAGGTCTTGAACTCCCGATCTCAGGTGATCCGCCCACCTTGGCCTCCAAAGTGCTTGGATTACAGGTGTGAGCCACCGCGCTCAGCCCTGGCTAATTTTTATATTTTAGTAGAGAGGGGGTTTCACCATGTTGGCCAGGCTGGTCTCAAACTCCTGACCTCAGGTGATCCACCCACCTCAGCCTCTTAGTTTTTGTGACAGATTCTTACTCGGTCACCCCAGGCTGGAGTGCAGTGGCATGATCATGGCTCACTGCAGCCTTGACTCCAAGTGCAAGTGATCCTCTTACCTCAGCCTCCTGAGGAGCTGAGACGACAGGTGTGTGCCACCATGCCCAGCTAATTTTTTTTTTTTTGAGACAGAGTCTCACTCTGTTGCCCAGGCTGGTGTGCAATGGTGTGATTCTGGCTCACTACAACCTCTGCCTCTGGGGTTCAAGTGATTCTTGTGCCTCAGCCTCCAGAGTAGCTGGGATTACAGGTGCCTGCCACCATGCCTAGCTAATTTTTGTATTTTTAGTAGAGACAGGTTTCACCATGTTGACCTGGCTGGTCTTGAACTCCTGACCTCAGGTGATCTGCCTGCCTTGGCCTCCCAAAGTGTTGGGATTACAGATGTGAGTCACCACACCTGGCCATGCCCAGCTAATTTATAAATTTCTTGTAGAAATAGTGTCCCATTATGTTGCCCAAGCTGGTCTTGAGCTCCTGGACTCAACCAGTTCTCCTTCCTCAGTCTCCCAAAGTGCTGGGAATTACAGACGTGAGCCACATGCCCAGCCAAATTGTATGGAGTTTCACGATGTTGGCCAGGATGGTCTCAATCTCCTAACCTCATGATTTTCCCACCTCAGCCTCTGGGATTTACAGGGGTGAACCACTGCGCCCGGCCAAAAATTTTTTTTTTTTTTTCCGAGACGGAGTTTCGCTCTTGTTACCCAGGCAAGAGTGCAATGGCGCGATCTCGCCTCACCGCAACCTCCGCCTCCTGGGTTCGGGCAATTCTCCTGCCTCAACCTCCCGAGTAGCTGGGACTACAGGTGCGCGCCACCATGCCCAGCTAATTTTTTGTGTTTTTAGTAGAGACGGGGTTTCACCATGTTGACCAGGATGGTCTCAATCTCTTGACCTCGTGATCCACCCGCCTTGGCCTCCCAAAGTGCTGGGATTATAGGTGTGAGCCACCGTGCCCGGTCCAAAAATGTTTTTTAACTCACAAAACATTGCAGAAATAGTACAGAGAACTCTTATATACCCTTTATACAGATTTACCAGTATTTAATATTTTGCTCGTGTTTGCTTTATTTTCTTTGTGTACCTTGATATTTAATTTTTGTGAATCATTTGAAAGGTAGGTTTAAATACATCATGCTTCTTTACCCTTTAATATATGTGTATTTCCTAACAAGAAGAATATTCTCTTTTTTTTTTAGAAGAATATTCTCATATAACCATGGTGGAGCTATCAAGTCTTAAGAAATTTAACCTGGCTACAGTAATTTAATTCACATTGTCATTTCATCAATTTTCCCAATAATGTCCTTGGTAGCATTTCCCCTGCAGTACAGGACCTGGTCCAGGGTCACATACTACATGTAGTTGTCAAATCATCAGTTTTTAACAGATATAGTTGTATCTTCTGGATGTATTTCATTTGTTTTCTACTGATTGTCATTTAGGTTGTTTGTAGTATTTTTAAAGCTTTTGTCACTTAACATCCTAAGTGTTTTTTTATTTTATTTTTTTTTAGAGCCAACAGCCTATTGAGCTGAGAGCCTTGGGGACTGACAGCTTTCCAGGCTGAAGGCCTTTATTTTTATTTTATTTTATTTTTTTGGAGACAGGGTCTTGCTCTGTCACTTAGGCTGGGATGCAGTGGCATGATAGGCATGTGTCGCCATGCCCAGTTAAGTTTTATGTTTTTTTGTAGAGACAGCGTTTCACCACGTTGCCCAGGCTGGTCTTGAACTCCTGGCCTCAAGCGATCTTCCCATTTGGTCTCCCAGAGTGCTGGGATTACAGGTGTGAGCCACCGTTCCCAGCCCATAAATGTTACTTATTTTATTTTTAAATTTTTTTATTTTTTGAGATGGAGTCTTGCTCTGTCACCCAGGCTGGAGTGCAGTGGCACAATCTCAGCTCACTGCAACCTCCACCTCCCAGGATCAAGCGATTTTTCTGCCTCAGCTTCCCAAGAAGCTGGGATTATAGGCGCCCGCCACTGCACTTGGCTAATTTTTGTAGTTTTAGTAGAGACGGGGTTTCGCCATGTTGGCCAGACTGGTTTCTAACTCATGACCTCAGGTGGCCCGCCCACCTTGGCCTCCCAAAATGTTGGGATTACAGGCATGAGCCACCGCTCCTGGCTCTTTATTTTATTTTTGAGACAGAGTCTCACTGCTGCCCAGGCTGGAGTGCAATCGCACGATCTTGCCTCACTGCAACCTCCACTTCCCAGGTTCAAGCAATTCTTCCTACCTCAGCCTCCCAAGTAGCTAGGATTACAGGTGTGTACTACCGAACCCAGCTAATTTTTTTGTATTTATTAGAGACAGGGTTTTACCATGTTGGCCAGGCTGTCTTGAACTCCTGACCTCAGGTGATCTGCCCACCTTAGCCTCCCAGAGTGCTAGGATTAGAGGCAAGAGCCACCATGCCCAACCCCATAAGCATTCCATCAATGAATATAATTTACTTTGATCATCCTCCTACTTTTCTTGTTAGATATTTAGGTTGATTTTTTTTTTTTTTGGAGGCAGTGTCTTGCTCTGTTGCCCAGGCTGGAGTGCAGTGGCGTGATCTTGGCTTACTACAGCCTCAACCTCCTGGGCTCAAGTAATCATTCCCCCTCAGCCTTCTCCCAAGTAGCCGGGACTACAGGCATGTGTCTCCATGTGTGGCTGTTTTTCTTTCTTTCTTTTTTTTTTTAAGAGATGGTGTCTCTCTGTGTTGCTGGATTTGAACTCTTGGACTCAAATGAGCCTGCTTCTTTGGCCTCCCAACATGCTGATACAGACCCGAGCCACAGCACCTAGGTTCTTGTTTTTTATTTTTGAGACAGTGTCCCACTCTATTATGCAGGCTGTAGTGCAGTGGCACAATCTCAGCTCACTGCAGCCTCGACCTCCTGGATCCTCCTGCCTCAGCCTCCCAGGTAGCTGGGACTACAGGAGCACGTCACCACCCCTGGCTAATTTTTGTGTTTTTTGTAGAGATGAGGTTGAACTCCTAAGCTGAAGTGATCCACCTAGCTTGACCTCCCAAAGTGCTAGTGTTACAGGTGTGAGCCACTGCATCTGGCTATTATCTTAACACATAATTGCAAACATGGAAATAGTGGGTTTTAAAGATCAGATCTGCCAGGTGTGGTGGCTCACACCTATAATCCTAGCACTTTTGGAGGCCGAGGCGGGTGGATCACGAGGTCAGGAGTTTGAGACCAGCCTGACCAACATGGTGAAACCATTTCTACTAAAAATACAAAAATTAGCTGGGCATGGTGGCACGTGCCTGTAATCCCAGCTACTTGGGAGGCTGAGGCAGGAGACGCGCTTGAAACCAGGAGGCAGAGGTTGCAGTGAGCCAAGATTGCGCCACTGTATCTGGGCAAGAGCAAGACTCTGTCTCAAAAAATAAAAAATTAAAAAATAAAGATCAGATCCATTTTCCCTTTTTTTCTTCCCACTAAGAAAGTTGGCCCTAAAATGCTGGATCATGAAGGAAAAGAAGTCCCAGGAAACCGAGGTTACAAGTACTTTGGAGCAGCGAAAGATTTGCCTGGTGTTAGAGAGCTGTTTGAAAAAGAACGTAAGTAAGTTTTTGACAGTTTTAGCCTTTTGTTGGTAATAATCATAAATAGATACACTGTATGCTAAGTTTTTTTTTTTTTTTTTTGAGACAGAGTCTTACTCTGTCACCAGGCTGGAGTGCAGTGGCATGATCTCAGCTTACTACAACCTCTGCCTCCCAGGTTCAAGCGATTTCCCTGCCTCAGCCTCCCGAGTAGCTGGGACTACAGGGGGACACCACCACGCCCTGCTAACTTTTTGTATTTTAGTAGAGATGGGGTTTCACCATGCTGGCCAGAATGGTCTCGATCTCCTGACCTTGTGATCCACCCACCTTGGTCTTCCTTAACTGAGAATTTTTTTTTCCCATGCCTGCCCCACTCAACTGAGAACTTTTAAGCATCGGGATGGAATCATAGGCCCATGCCATACAACTAGGACTGGAAAGTACGCCCAGGATGTTTGGTGCAGGATTCTGCCTTTGACAGGTGCTAATCTGTCAGTCTGGAGAAGGAGTTTCCCTATTCGAAGTTACCTGGAATGATTGGGGCAGGCTCTGAAGTTCATTGAATCACGTTTATGTTTCAGTTACTTACTAGTTGAAGAAATGATAAGTAAAGAACAGATAAAATCTTAGGCCTAACCCTAACATGTAAAAGTGGAGAAAAGTGAAGCTGCTTTGTGTGAATCCAAGTAGCGCACCCCACCTCTCCTCTCTCTTCCTGTCATGGACACAGGAAGCTTCAGCCAAACCTCCAGAATATAATTTGGAACTATTAATCTAGAATTTTAGTCTATTTTAATTTTGTCTTTTAGAATGGCAGTCTAAACATTTCATAGAAAAAAGTATGAGGAGCAGAGAAGAATGATGCCAGTATTCTCACCACTATGAGCGTTTTGTTATATCTCCTTCTGGTTGGTTTTCTATTTTTTTTAAAAAATATAGTTCACTTTTATTAAACCCTGCTTATTTTAAAATTCATTATTTCAAAGCGGTTTTGCATAGGTCACTATCGTCACTTAAAAATAATTCAGAGATGGCCGGGCGCGGTGGCTCAAGCCTATAATCCCAGCACTTTGGGAGGCCGAGGCAGGTGGATCACGAGGTCAAGAGATTGAGACCATCCTGGTCAAAATAGTGAAACCCCGTCTCTACTAAAGATACTAAAAATTAGCTGGGCATGGTGGCGCGTGCCTGTAATCCCAGCTACTCGGGAGGCTGAGGCAGGAGAATTGCCTGAACCCAGGAGGCGGAGGTTGCGGTGAGCCGAGATCGCGCCATTGCACTCCAGCCTGGGTAACAAGAACGAAACTCCGTCTCAAAAAAAAAAAATTCAGAGTTTAAATATTGTGCCATTAATTATTAAGCAATATATTTTTATTACAGGGAAGTTATAAAATGCAGAAGATCAAAAAAAACCCCACATTTTTACACCTCATATGTGATGATTGTTATTACATTGGGGCATTGTTCCCTCCAGTTTCTTTTTTTATTTATTTTTTGATACAGAGTCTTGCTGTGTTGCCCAGGCTGGAGTGCAATGGTGTGATCCCGGCTCACTGCAACCTCTGTCTCCCAGGTTCAAGCAATTCTCGTATCTCAGCCTCCCGAGTAGCTGGGATCACAAGTGCATGCCACTATGTCTGGGTAATTTTTGTATTTTTAGTAGAGATGGGGTTTCATCATATTGGTCAGGCTGGTGTTGAAGTCCTGACCTCAGGTGATCCATCCACCACAGCCTCCCAAAGTGCTGGGATCATAGGCATGAGCCACCATACCTTTCCTAAGATTTTTGTTTTAAAAAGAAAATGCTGGCCAGGCATGATGCCTTACGCCTGTAGTCCCAGCACTTTGGGAGACTGAGGTGGGCAAATCACCTGAGGTTGGAAGTTTGAAACCAGCCTGACCAACATGAATAAATCCATCTTTAAGGCCGGGCACGGTGGCTCACGCCTGTAATCCCAGCACTTTGGGAGGCTGAGGCAGGTGGATCACGAGGTCAAGAGATCGAGACCATCCTGGTCAAACAAGGTGAAACCCTGTCTCTACTACAAATACAAAAATTAGCTGGGCATGGTGGCACATGCCTGTAGCCCCAGCTACTCAGGAGGCTGAGGCAGGAGGATTGCTTGAACCTAGAAGGTGGAGGTTGCGGTGAGCCAAGATCGTGCCATTGCACTCCAGCCTGGGTAACAAGAGTGAAACTCCGTCTCAAAAAATAAATAAATAAATCCATCTTTACTAAAAATACAAAATTAGCCAGGTATGGGGGCACATGTCTATAATTCCAGCTACGGGGAGGCTGCGGCAGGAGAATCACTTGAATCGGGGAGGCGGAGGTTGTAGTGAGCCAAGATTGTGCCACCATTGCACTCCAGCCTGGACAACAAGAGCGAAAATCCATCTCAAAAAAATAAAAAAAGAACGAAAGAAAGAAAATGCTTAAGTGAATTTTACTGAGTATAATTCAAATATAGTACAAAGTTAAAGTCCTCTTTCCTCTACCCTCATCCTAGTGCCCCTCACTCCCAGAGGTAACTGATAACCATTATTATCTGTTTGGTATGTTCCCTTTCCGGGGCCTTAAAAAAAATTTTTTTTTTTTCAGAGACAGGACCTTGTTCTGTCACCCAGGCTATGGAGTACAGTGGTACAATCATACTCATTGCAGCCTTGAACTCCGGGGTCCGAGGCATCCTTCTCCCTCAGCCTCTTGAGTAGCTAGGAGCACAGGCAGGTGTCACCACCCCTGACTAATTTTTAAAAATTTCTGTAGAGATGGGAGTCTCACTGTGTTCCCTAATTTTGAACCCCTTGCCTCAAGCAGTCTTCCTGCCTCAGCCTCCCAAAGCACTGGGATTACCAGCCTGAAACCCTGCACTCAGCCGTCTTCCAGTCCCATTTCCAGGCAGTTATATGCGTATTTCATCAGTATAAGTGACAGGTGACTTAACTCCAAGGAAATCCCAGGATAGTCTGCCTTCAGGCATGGCTGAATCTGGCTCACATTTCTGTGTTGCAGTTTTGGCTTCCACTGTGTGAGCTTCTTACTCTGCCTAGCTTTCCACTCGTGACAATCTGTCATCCACTTACATCTTGTTCTTTCAGCAACAGATTTTTCTCCCAAGCAGCTCAAGCAAAATTCCCAGAACTGAGTGTAGTTGGTTTTGATTGGGTTATAATTCCATCCATATGCCACCCCTGTAGCCAGGAGGAATGCAGTACTCTGAGCCAGCCAGGCTTCAACCTTCACTCTCTCCTGGTTCCAGCGAGCATGGTGACCGCCACTTACATGACATGGCCCAAGAGTAGCAGAAGGGTGGACAGAGTTGCTGTTACCAACAGTGGGATGATAGATAGAGGCCTGCCAAATGACAGTGGCTCTCCCATAACTGTTGTGTTGTGATAGCCATTGGTATCCTTCCACATGTACTTAGAACTCTGTTACTGGGTGTGAAGGATTAGAGTATCACCGTATGAATTAACCATACCTGACATAACATAAAAGTCCATTGCAGACTTTTATTTTCCAGTTTTTTTTTTCTTTTTTTTTTTAATTTTTTTCTTTTGAATTGGACTCTCACTCTGCCGCCCAGCTGGAGTGCAGTGGCACCTGGAGTGCAGTGGCGTGATCTTGCCTCACTCCAGGCTCTGCCTCCCAGATTCAAGTGATTCTCCTGCCTCAGCCTCTTGAGTAGCTTGGGATTACAGGCGTCTGCCACCGTGCCTGGCTAATTTTCATATTTTTAGTAGAGACAGGGTTTTCCGTGTTGGCCAGGCTGGTCTTGAACTCCTCACCTCAGGTGATCTGCCTGCCAGCCTTGGCCTCTCAAAATACTGGGATTACAGGCATGAGCCACTGAGCCTGGCCTGAAATCTGCACTTTTGACAAGCATCCCAGGTGACTGTTAGATACCATTAGCTTTTGTTCTTTGACCAATCTGGTTGGTTGTCATTTTCTTTTTGATTTTTAAGAATTACTTGGCCCAGCATGGTGGCTCACACGTGTAATCCCAGCACTTTGAGAGGCCAAAGTGGGCAGATTACCCAACGTCAGGAGTTCAAGACCAGCCTGGCCAACATGGTGAAACCCCATTTCTACTAAAAATACAAAAATTAGCTGGGTATGGTGGCAGGTGCCTGTAATGCCACCTACTCGGGAGGCTGAGGCAGGAGAATCACTTGAACCAAGAAGGCAGAAGTTGTAGTGAGCCAAGATTGTGCTATTGCACTCCAGCCTGGACGATAAGAGTGAAATTCTGTCTTAAAAAAAAAATGAGGCCGGGCGCGGTGGCTCATGCCTATATTCCCAGCACTTTGGAAGGCCGAGGCAGGTGGATCACGAGGTCAAGAGATCGAGACCATCCTGGTCAACATGGTGAAACCTCGTCTCTACTAAAGATACAAAAATTAGCTGGGTATGGTAGTGCGCGCCTGTAGTCCCAGCTACTCGGGAGGCTGAGGCAGGAGAATTGCTTGAACCCAGGAGGCGGAGGTTGCGGTGAGCTGAGATCGTGCCATTACACTCCAGTCTGGGTAACAACAGCAAAACTCCGTCTCAAAAAAAAAAAAAAGAATTACTTAAATATTCTGGATAGTAGTCCTAGTCTGAAGGTATCTTCTTTAGGACTTTCTCATGTATCTTTTTTGTTTGCTTATAATTCCTTTTGTCTTTTTTATTTACTTATGTTTCCTGTCATGCTTTTTCATTAAACATATGACAGTTCCTGTGTTACCAAAATACTTTGTGAAATAGCATTATAGGGGCTGCAGGATTTCCCATCCCATACACATTCTGCAATTTACAATCCTAGGTTATTCCCAAGTTTTCTCTATTATATTATATAAATAATACTGTGATGCATATTTCTGTCTGTGAAGCTTTTTGCTGTCTTGTATTTGATTTTGTTGTTTAATTAGGTAGGTTTCTTTTTTTTTTTTTTTTTTTTTAGAGACAGGGTCTCACTATGTTGCCCAGGCTGGAGTGCAGTGGCTCTTCACAGGCGCAATCCCACTACTGATCAGCACAGGAGTTTTGACCTGCTCCGTTTCCAACTTGGGTCGGTTCACCCCTCCTTAGGCAACCTGGTGGTCCCCCACTCCCAGGAGGTCACCATATTGATGCTGAACTTAGTGCGGACACCTGATCGTCATAGCGCACTACAGCCCAGAACTCCTGGGCTCAAGTGATCTTCCCTCCTCAGCCTCCTGAGTAGCTGGGACTACAGGCACGTGCCACTGCACCTGTTGATTTCTTTCTTTTTTTTTTTTAATTTTTTTGAGACGGAGTGTTGCTCTGTCACCTAGGCTGAAGTGTAATGGCGCAATATCGGCTCACTGCAATCTCTGCTTCCCAGGTTCAAGCTCCTGCTTCAGCCTCCTGAATAGCTGGGATTACAGGTACCCACCACCATGTCCAGCTAACTTTTGTATTTTTCGTAGAGATGGGGTTTCACCAGGTTGGCCAGGCTAGTCTTGAACTCCTGACCTCAGGTGATCCACCTGCCTCAGCCTCCCAAAGTGCTGGAATTATAGGCGTGAGCCACTGCACCCAGCCAGATAGATTGCTTTTAAATGGACTAATAGATCAAAGTACTGATTTTAAAAGGGTTCTACCACTTATATAATCCCATTAATAGTATAGAAAAGTACCTATCCATGGTATTTTCATGAACATACCTGTCACCGGGCTGTGTAGCCTTGTATCAGGAAACAGCTTCACTGGAGTGTGATTGTGACTTAGGAACCCAACTATGTTTCTGTTTCTTACAGCTCTTCCTCCTCCCAGAAAGACACGTGCTGAGCTCATGAAGGCAATCGATTTTGAGTACTATGGTTACCTAGATGAAGACGATGGTGTTATTGTGCCTTTGGAACAGGAATATGAAAAGAAACGTAGGTCTCTGAGCATTTCATTTCATAATAGATGGCATCTGTTTTCTGTTGTCTCCTTTGAAAACAGGAATTTCAATAGTGTTTTATGCCAGAAGGGAGTTTTCTTTGTTGCTAATGGTCTTTAGACATGATGGTCTGCTAATTCCCTGACCCCTGAGAGGCAGTCAAGGCTGTGTGGACCAGAGGTGGCAGGTTGGGGAAGCCACAAGAGCCAAGTCTGACTGGTCCCTGTCTGCCAGGAGGTCACCATCTGGATTCATGCTAATACCAGTGCCCATGTGATACATTGAGCCAGGACTTTTGAAGCAAGTGGTCTGGAGCTGGAGCTGCTTTCTAGCATACTCTGCCCCTGCCTCCTCTGTTTTCATGTGGGTGTGTTGGGAAGCCACTCAGGTTGTGGAACTGGGGTGGAATTGTGAATGTTCCCTAAAAAGCTGCTTTGTGGCACTGAAAGCCAGAGCTATTTTAGGACTACCATAGCTCACATCCATTTCCACCCATGGGGCAGAATGAAGCATGTCCCTTTCTAGAGGGGACATCTTGGCCTTTCCCTGTATAGTGTTGAAAGCTCATTTAGAGACTGGAATAAGTAGCACCTACCCTCTCTTGTCATTAGTCAGAGTTGACTTAGTGGAAAAGTGGAAAGCAGAGAGAGAGGCTCGACTGGCAAGAGGAGAAAAGGAAGAGGAGGAAGAAGAGGAGGAAGAAATCAACATCTATGCAGTCACCGAGGAGGAGGTACGGGGGTTGGTGCCCTCTGGCACTCACTGCCATCTGCTCCAAACCATGAAGTATGGCAGGGAGGAAGCAGGGCTCCAAAATGCAGAGTCAGAGTTCACAGCCCAGCTTGCTCACCTGCAGGATGGCTGTGAAAGCACTTAGCAGATTACAGGAGAGTTTCAGGAGGCAACAGCCATGAGAGTGCCCTGTTGGCTGTGCTTTACACCATGGCTTCCTTCTTTCCTTCTTAGAGACAGGCCCTCCTGCATAAACTGGAATTGGATTGATAAACACAGGGGAAGCCATGAGCTTTAGTCCATGACCTCATCACTACTATTCACATGGGAGTGCCAGTAGCTCTTCTGTAGTCTAACACTCCCATCTTTTTTTTTTTTTGAGATAGAGTCTTGCTCTGCCACCCAAGCTGGAGTGCAGTGGCATGATCCCAGCTCACTGCAACCTCTGCCTCCCGGGTTAAAGCGATTTTTCTGCCTCAGCCTCCCAAGTAGTTGGGACTACAGGCAAGCACCACCATACCCGGCTAATTTTTATATTTTTAGTAGAGGCAGGGTTTCATCATATTGGCCAGGCTGGTCTTACACTCATGAGCTCAGATGATCTGCCCGCCTTGACCTCCCAAAGTGTTGGAATTATAGGCATGAGCCACCGTGCCTGGCCCTAACATCCCCCTCTTACAGATGGAAACAAACCCAGAGCAGAGACTTTCTCAGAGGGTCATGGTTGGGAAATCCTTGCATAATTTCAGACCTTTTGCATATTTTCTGATCTATAGGAAATACTCATTACAGTTATTAGTTTTTATTATAGTATAATAATAAAGTAATATTGTAAGTATAAGAATGTTGACATATAAGTAATGTTGACACATCTGTCTGTGCTACACCTTTTATTTTTTATATGAAACAGTACCAAAATTTCACTGCATTAAAGGAGGTAGTCTGAAACAAGGAAAACTCAGCATTTGAAATCCTTGCCTCCCAGGCAGAACTCTTCTGCAGGGCCCTGTGTTTGGAGTCCTCGCTGCCTGCGCATATCCAGCTGGATCTGATTTGCTGGACTGAGAGAAGGAAGGGGATCATCCACACACAGATAATGGCTGAGGTTCCACATGAGGAGCTTGCTGAGACACCACTACTGGTGAAGAAGCAGACTCAGGTTTAGTGACTTAGTCAGTGTCACACAGGATATAACAGGGCTGATGTTCCTGCTCAGGTCCAGCTGGGCCAGCAGTGGGGTTCAGTGCAGGTCTGAATCAGGATGGCAGCATGCCTTAGGAGGATTTCCTCTAGCTACAAATACTCATTTATTCTGTCCGCAGGTGTTTAATTCATGGCTCCTGTGAGCCATCCCCATTCCAGGTGTAGGGGCATGGTGGTACAGAGGCTTGGTGTGTAGCTTATAGTCCAGGGGGAGGCAGTCCAGTAAGAGAGACAGTGAGCGACAGCCCCTCAGTTGAGCCTGGTGCCAGGGACAGCCTGCAGATGCTCTGCTGGGGAGCTAACCCCTCAGCTGAGATCAGGACTATCCAGGGAACTTAACCAAGGGAGGAGAAGTTAAGGAGAGAGGGCTTCCAGCAGGGGCGCATTGCATGCTGAGAGATCCTGTGATGAGTATGAGAGACAAAGGACAGCCCAGTGGGCTGGAGTGCAGAGGGTGGGTGGACGCTGATGGGGAGCTGATGTCATGGGAAAGAGCACTGGAAACTGTAGAATTTTTTTTTTCTTTTCAAATAATTACAGAGTTACAGGAAGTTGCAAAGAGGACAGAGAGATCTTGTGTATGTTTTACCCAATTCCCCCAATGGTTGCATTTCATGTAGTTCTAGCACAGTAGCAAAACTGGGAGGTTGACATTGGCATAATGAGTGTGTGGAGTTGTGTCATTTGTCTCCATGTGTGAAGATCATGTGGCCATCATGACAATCAAGCTACAGAACTGGCCGGGGGTGGTGGTGATGCCTGTAATCCTAGTACTTTGGGAGGCTGAGGTGGGAGGATTGCTTGAACTCAGGAGTTTGAGACCAGTCCGAGCAACACAATGAGGCCCTGTTTATACCAAAAATAAAAACAATTAGCCGGGTGTGGTTGGACATGCCTATAGTCCCAGCTACTCAGGAGGCTGAGGTGTAAAAATTACTTGAGCCCAGGGGGTTGAGATTACAGTGAGCTGTGATTGTACATACCATAGTACTCCAGCCTGGGAACTGTCCCCTTACCACAAAGATCCCTGGTGCCGCCCCTTCACAGTTCACACCTCCCTGTCTTCACCATCTCTTGCCCTATCTGAACCCTAACCTGTTGTCCATCTCTGTGATTTTGTCATTCCAGAATGTTTTATAAATGGGATCGTGCTGTGGGTCACCTTTCGAGATGGCCTTGACACTCAGCACAATGCCCTTGCCATCCCTCTGGTTGTTGAGTTCAGTAGTTCATTCCTTTCACTGCTGAGTGCTGTTTCATATACAGAAAAGTACACACCACCAAAATGTGTTGGTCACTGGATTTTCACAGGGCTAACACACACACAGCAAATACCAGCGAAGAGACAGAACAGGACCACAATGCCAGAAGCTCACTGATGCCTCAGGGGTCACCCTCCTGACCTTTCATGACCCATATGTTTCACCTGTGTCTGAACTTTACATAATGTGGAGTCATGTGTACTCTTTTGTGGCTGATGTTTGTGGGCATTTGTGTTGTGTCCAGCTTGGAGCTTTGGCAGATAGAGCTGCTGGGAATTTTCTTGTTCCTGTGCAGTGTTTCTGTTGAGTACATGCTGAAGAGTGGAACCACCAGATCAGGGTAGGTGTGTCTTTAGTGTTAGATACAACCAGTTTATCCAAATGCCAGCAGTGGATGAGAGGTTTCCCAAGAGTCTTTTCAAGCCACCCCCACTGGGAGCTAGTCAGGGAACAAGTCATGTAGGGTGTCCGGCAAGCAGTGGATGCCTGACTCGCCACCAGACCCCCGCTCTCTTTCCAAGTCCACATTGTTTTCTTTGTTGTTAGAAATTTGTATTGACCCATAAGAAACCTCTGAGTTGATCTTCTTTTTATACATGATACATTATTTTCCATTTAAATTTTTTAAAATAGTGATACATTCACAAGGTTCAAAAGTGAAAAAGTATCTAAAGATATTCCACAAAGATTCTCTTTCCTCTTCCTGTCCCTCATCTGCCTTGTTCTCATTGCTATCAGTAGTTTCTATTCTTATTTCGTCCTTAGACAAAAGGCAGCATAATGTATACCGTGTTCTATGGCTTTTTTTTTTTACTTAATCTTTTGGCTCGAGTGTCTTTCTGTAAGTACAGAACTTCCTCATCTCTTTTTTCTTTTAAATAGCTGCAGAATTGTGTGTTTTATAGAGTTGCCAGCATTTATCTAGCTGGGCACCTACTGATGGACTTTCGGTTGTTCTGTTTGTAGTCGGACGAGGAAGGCAGCCAGGAGAAAGGAGGGGATGACGGCCAGCAGAAGTTCATTGCTCATGTCCCCGTGCCCTCGCAGCAAGAGGTAGGACCACAGCTAAGAACTGCCCGGGCAGCAGGGGCTTCTCTAAAGCAGACTGCACAGAGCGCTGTAGTGGGTTTTCATTGTCCTTCCTACCCATCAGGGCAGCTCAGGATCCTGACCACATGACACCTGTGGTTGTACTCATAATAGGGTGTGGGATCCAAAAAGGGCAGGACCTTCTGCTCTAGACCATTCTATTGTTCAGATTTTTCCAATGGAGGGAGTTGGGACTCTTGGAGACTATTCTGGGTATTTAAATCAGACTCCTCAATGGACTTTTCCCATGGGGACTTCCTCCTGGCTGAGTCTGGCAGGGGTTGAAGGGCTTTGCTAAGGGGTGAGCCCTGCACTCTTAATTTCCACAGATTGAGGAGGCACTGGTGCGAAGGAAGAAAATGGAACTCCTCCAGAAGTATGCAAGTGAGACCCTGCAGGCCCAGAGTGAAGAAGCCAGAAGGCTCCTGGGGTATTAGAGCCCAGCTGGGGCTCTCCTTAGAGTTCTTCCATCCCCCAGTAGCCCTGCAAGACCCAAGGCTGCAGACAGGCAGGCCGTTGCTGTGAGGCCTCCTGCCCTTTTCTCTGCCTTTCTTTCCTCTCCTTCTTTTTTTTTGAGACGGAGTTTCGCTGTTGTTACCCAGACTGGAGTGCAATGGCACAATCTCGGCTCACCGCAACCTCCGCCTCTTGGGTTCAAGCAATTCTCCTGCCTCAGCCTCCCGAGTAGCTGGGACTACAGGCGCGCACCACCATGCCCAGCTAATTTTTGTGTTTTTAGTAGAGACGGGGTTTCACCTTGTTGACCAGGATGATCTCAATCTCTTGACCTCGTGGTCCACCCGCCTCAGCATTCCAAAGTGCTGGGATTATAGGCATGAGCCACTGAGCCCCGCCCTGCTCTCCTTCTTATTTTGTGCTGACCTGGGAGTAGGGGTCTGTCCCTGGCCTCCCTGGTAGATTTTGTACACATATTTTGCTACTGTGTGGATCCATTTATTTTTTATTGTGGAGTGTATACAACACATTGTGAACTGGCTGCCTGTGTCTTATTTTGCCTTGCACTGTGATTTTGTGAGGAGAAGAATCAATTAGTGGCTAACATTTTAAAATGCAATTTTTCAGCTGGGCGTGGTGGCTTACAACTGTAATCCCAGCACTTTGGGAGGCTGGGGCGGGAGGATCACGAGGTCAGGAGTTCTAGACCAACATGAACCAACATAGTGAAATCCCATCTCTACTAAAAATAAAAAAATTAGCTGGGCATGGTGGTGCACACCTGTAATCCCAGCTACTCGGGAGGCTGAGGCTCAAGAACTGGAGTGAGCAGAGATTGTGCCACAGCACTCCAGCCTGGGTAACAGAGTGAGATTCCATCTCAAAACAAACCAGCCAACAAAAATGCAATTTTTCTTTTTTTTTTTTTTAATCTTTTTTTATTTCCTTCTCCCAAAAATGCAGTTGTTCTAAAAGACACATCTTCTCTTGAAAAATGAGTGATGTGTCAGCCCTGGGCACATACCCCACAGGTCAGTGACCAGATCCCTCTGTGTCAGGTGCTGCTCTGGGCTCTCTGTTTGCACCCCTCCGCCTGCTCCACTAATTTCTCCCTGGGTGGCAGGAAGTTGAGTTTGCTACTCCTGTTTTATAACCTGTTTTGCAGAGACCTGTTTTATTAAAGATTTTTATAAGAAAGGAAAAACTCCATGTGTTCAGCTTGTTCCCTGGGCTAACAGCTGTAAGGTGACATTGGCCTTAAGATGTGTGGCCAGTCACTGAAGGGCAGTGCTATCCTGCAGGGGAATCCCTGAAGCCCCAGATCCAAGTGTGGCAAGGACAGGACCAGATCCCAGGAGCCTAGGATGGGGGAGCTGATCCACTGTGGCCTCCGTGACCACAGCTATAGGCAGGGCTGCTTGCAATGGGCCGCACCATGGCCTGTTGAAAGCACACAGTGGATACAAGCTGATTCTAGAGCTTCCTCTGAGCTGGGGCTTAGCGCTCCAGTGGGGAACCATGGTCAGCAACTACAGCCACTGGGCAGGATGGGGCCTGGCCTCCTGCCCTCTGCAGGGTCACTGGAGTGTCTGGGAACTCAGGGTCAGGGCCAGATGGCTGTTCCCAGGGCCAGGGCTCCAGCTCAGGCTGTTTGAGAACAGGAGCCCATCACACAGCAGAATGCCTGAGATGGTTGGTCTGCAGGGAGCAGCTCAGTCTGAGGGTGGCAGAGCCACGTGTGGCTCTGGGTCAGGAGAGAGTGGCCAGTGCTGGGCCCTCTCTAAGGAGCCTGAGGGCCACAGGCTCTGTGGAAAGGGTCTGAGCGAGGGAGTCGGGACCTAGCAGGTAGGGAACTTGATTGAGGATGCTCCCTGTGGTCACAAGGGGAGGTCCAGGCGGGACCAGGTCAGGAGGCGGCTAGGGCAGAGGCCCAGGCAGGAGGTGGGTGGGCTCGATGGGGACAGGAGTGGCAAGGGTATAGGTAAGGATGGGGAAGGGGCCCCCTTGCCTCTTGGCTTCTCTGAGGGCAGGGCTGGCCAATCCCAGCCCTCAGCTGAGCCCAGGGGCAGATGTGTGCAGGGAGGAGACGGGCTCCAGGTTGGAGCTTTGGGAGTCCTTGGAGGCAGCAAGGCAGACTCAGCTCTGGAACCCAACACCCAGCCTGGGCCTGCAGGTGGGGTCTCTGAGCAAGACCCTTCGGGTCCCAGCCTCGGCTTTCATACTTTGAAGTCGAGAACTGGACCTGTGCTGTCTGAGTTTGCCCTGGGGTCTGGGCCATCCTGTGGTTTGTGCAGAGGTCTCAGAGGGCCCTAGGGACAGACTGACCCGTAGGTCTGAGCCTCTGGGAGCATGGGGGTGGCAAGGCTCAGACAGGCCTGGGTATAGGTTTGTCTTCCAAGGGGCACATGTGTACTCTTGTGCTTCCTGGCATTTAGAAGGGAGTGGGAAATTCAGACATCAGGCCTTCCTTCTCCATGGGAAGGATGGCAGGTGCCTGGAGCCAGGCATGTCTTGAAAGCCAAGGGCTCTGGGCCTTCCTCCTCCAGTTCTCTGTTCCAGGCCTTCAGTGCACAAAAGTGCCCCCCTCCTGGGATCTCTTCAGGGCTCCCTGGGATGCAAATGGGCCAGGGATTAGGATTCCACATTTGAGGAAACAGGTTAAGAATGGAGAAGCACCCAGGTGGACATCCTCTAGGTGTCCCTGGCAGAGGAGGCCCTTGCTGCTTATCTGCACAAAGGCCCTACAGGTGGGACAGGGTCTCAGCAGGGCTCCAGCCCCAGGCCTGGAAACAGCTGGGGGTGGGGGAAGGTGGCTGGTGGGTGTGGTCATCAAGGCAACAGAACCTTTTTCAGAACAGAACAGTCTCAGGAGGCTTTTTTTGGTTAATAAAATCTGCTGAATGATTTTTTTAAAAAAATGGTTAATCAAGCCGGGCGCGGTGGCTCACGCCTGTAATCCCAGCACTTTGGCAGGCAGGTGGATCACGAGGTCAAGAGATCGAGACCATCCTGGTCAACATGGTGAAACCCGTCTCTACTAAAAATACAAAAGATTAGCTGGGCATGGTGGCGCGTAATCCCAGCTACTCAGGAGGCTGAGGCAGGAGAATTGCCTGAACCCAGGAGGCAGAGGTTGCGGTGAGCCGAGATTGCGCCATTGCACTCCAGCCTGCGTAACGAGTGAAACTCCGTCTCAAAAAAAAAAATGGTTAATCAAAAAAGGCTTTGGCTCTGCTTGTGGTTTTCTGAAAAGCTACTTTTTCATAGTCACGTTTCCATCAACTTCCTTCTCTCACATTGCCTGTCCTCCTGTGTCTCAAACACACCATCTCCCTCCTGTTTTGCTTTAAGACTCGTCACAGCATCCTCACCCAGGCCTCAGACTGCCCTCCTCCTGGTCCTCCTCTCCTGCACCCCCAACTGCCTGGCCCCACCTACCCTTGGGCAATTTATAAACAGGGAAAAGATGAAATCCTTTCTCCTCTTGCCCTGCACATGCCCACCGCATTCCCTGAAACCCTGGCAGGTTCTGGACACAGAGCTGGGGCTTCTCACCCTGCTCACCGCACAGCACTGAAAGCAGGAACCCACCTGGATGGACATCAGGCCTGGCCCAGCACCCAGCTGACTTTCAAGCAGAGGGATCTACGGGGGCAGGCAATGCCACCCAGCCCCTTCTGGCATCTCCACACTTGCTACCTGCCTACTCCACTCAAAAGGATGCAAAGTGAGGTGTCCGTGGAGGGCTGGCTTGGTGCTGAGTTACGCTTCTCTGCCGCAACTCCCGGGGCTTTTAGCAGGTGCTGTAGTCTCTGAGCCTGGGTTTCCTCTCCCACTAAATGAGCTGTTGGAAGGGCAGAGCTGCTAACAGTTCTCTCTAGCAGAGCCAGGATAGAAGTCTGTGAAAAACTGGTGTGTTTGAGTGGCTGGGAAATCAGGTGAGGGGCTGTGAGGGGAGGAGATGATGCTGGCAGAAGAGGAGCCTTGAATGTGTGTACATTCCTGAGAGTCTGGGGCTTAGCACTGAACTTACTTGAGCAGGAGATGCCTTTGTAGGATCCCTTCTAGCAGCAGATTGGGTAAGGGGTTGTGCTAGAAGGACTAGAAACAGACCAGGGAGGAAGCCAATCTGATTCTCTAAGGGATGGCTTGGTTTGGTCAGGGGTTAGCAGTAGAGGTGTGAGTTGAGATACCAAGGTACTGACCCCTGTATTTTGAGTCAGATCCTCAAGCGTGAGACCAGTGCCATCAACGGAAGCAGCAAGAGTGGAGGTGCTCATTTGGCCCATATTTATGATATTTCAGGATTCTGGGAGGAGAGAATGGATGTCTGTGTTTTCTCTGGTCACTAGGTAAGTGCAGATAGGCTGTCTATGGAGGAGCCTTTCCAGTCAGCAGCCAGCACCAGCCAGAGTGCTGAAGTTTATGACTGCTGTAGCCAATTTCTGCTTTATTCCTGGTTTTAATTTTCTACTATTTCGTAGCAAGCACGCTTCTATATGAAAGACACAGGGTATTGTGGTTGGCCTCTGGCCTTCATGGTGTTTTTTCACCTTTTTTTCTGACTGAGGACACATTTTCAGCACTAGCCTTGGCATCACCACATAAAGAAAATTTGGGGCTGGGCATGGTGGTGCATACCTGTAATTCCAGCACTTTGGAAGGCCAAGGTAGAAGAATCATTTGCTTGAGCCCAGGAGTTCAAGACCAGCCTGAGCAACATAATGAGACCTCTTCTCTACAAAAAATTAACAAATTAGCTGGATGTGATGCATGCCTGTAGTCCCAGGCCTGTGGTCAAGTACGAGAGGCTGAGTTGGGAGGATGGCTTGAGCCTGGGAGATTTGAGGTACCAGTGAGCCGTGATTGTGCCACTGTGCTCCAGCCTGGGAAACAGAGGGAGACCCTGTCTCCAAAAAAAAGACCGGATGTAGTGGCTCATGCCTATAATTCCAGCACTTTGGGAGGCCAAAGCAGGCAGATCACGGGGTCAGGAGATCAAGACCATCCTGGCCAACATAGTGAAACTCTGTCTCCACTAAAATACAAAAAATAGCTGGGCGTGGTGGCACAAGCCTGTAGTCCCAGCTACTCGGGAGGCTGAGGCAAGGAGAATTGCTTGAACCCAGGAGATGGAGGTTTCAGTGAGCCGAGATCGCACCACTGCACTCCAGCCTGCCGCCTGGTGATAGACCAAGACTGCCTCATAAAAAAAAAGAAGAAAACTTGTCTGATAGTGTTGTGTTTGTTGTAGGTTTATATTTTATATTTTAATAATGGCAAGTGTAGAAAGAAAAAGATGAGAAAGAAGGAAGGAGAAAACCAGGTATGAATGTCCCTTTAGCCACTTGGAGGAGGTCTGATCCAGGGAACATTTCCATTATGGGATACCCTCTTCATCATCTGAGATGACACAAACAGTTAAAATGCAGTCAGCTCACGGCCACTAGCTTTAAGAATGTTAAATTCTTAGGCTGGGCACGGTGGCTCAGGCCTATAATCCCAGCACTTTGGGAGGCTGAGGAGGGTGGATCACGAGGTCAAGAGATCGAGACCATCCTGGTCAACATGGTGAAACCCCGTCTCTACTAAAAATACAAAAATTAGCTGGGCATGGTGGCACATGCCTGTAGTCCCGGCTACTCGGGAGGCTGAGGCAGGATAATTGCTTGAACCCAGAAGGCGGAGGTTGCGGTGAGCCAAGATCGCGCCATTGGCGAGCCAAGATCGCGCCATTGCACTCCAGCCTGGGTAACAAGAGCGAAACTCCGTATCAAAAAAAGAAAGAAAAAAAAAAGAATGTTAAATTCTTTACCTATTTAAAAAAAACTGCAATATGCATTTTTTTCAAATTTGGTGCATTAAATGAAACAAGTATTTTTTAATTGTTCCATTTCAAATTAGCATGATTTCATTTCAAATAAAATGCCACTGCGCTACTCAGGAATTTACCACCGAAAGAGGAAATATAGATATTAGACAGCTTTATTGAGGTATAATTTACATACCATAAAACCCACCCTTTGTAAGTTTACAATTTAATGATTTTAATAAACTTCTGGAGTTGTGCAACCCTTACCACAATCCAGTTTTAGAATCACCCCACAAAGGCAAGGGAGTGGTGGCTGGGCTTTCTGACAAAATCTGTACTCAGACCAACATGTCCCCCATGGACCCCAATCAGTTCCAGGCTAGGGCAGTGGAAAGGCCAGTTAGCTATCCAGCCACCATCCTGCTCCATACTTCATCCTGGTCCCTGGATTCCACACCACCTTGTGCTCTGGTAGCTGCTCTGAGCTGGGGGCAGGCCTTCTTTTCTAGAGTTCTGGACTTTGACCTGAGCTAGCCCCAGCATGCGGTCACTTCCATCTCATCTCCTTTTGTCTACTTCTACCCTGGAGTAGAGGTTATTTCCTGCCGCTCTAGCTCTCCGCTCCCATCAGGTATACCAAAGTGGGACTCTCAGTTGCTTTTCAGTGGCACTTTGGGGTTTTCTGTCTGATTCGGTTGGGTATTTCCCATGGGAGTGGAGTACAACCTTTTAGAACAAACAACTCTTCTGCCTTCTCCATGAGGTCTGCCTTTGCAGAATGCTCATTCAGTCCCTTCCTGTCTTGACTTGAAAGGTTTGCTGGGGTCCTCATGGTGGCACTGGGGGACTTGCTCTCTGTGGAGTCTCCTTCAGCTTCTGGAAGACCTTCCCCTTTTCTTCTGGATTTTTGTCTGCTTTGTCCACAGGTGCATTACAAGGCCCCAGGAGAGTGCCCGCCTGTAGTAGGCATTCATCAAATGTATTGAATACCTGGAATTGGAGTGCCACAAGGGAGCTGCCTGGAGGGCTCAAGGGTGCTGTCAATTCCTTCCCATCTGGGGAGCTGGGAGGCCTAGTCCTATTGGATCTAGTGTAAGCTTCTTACAGATGTTTGGATCTCCTTTCTCTGAGGGACCCTAGTTCCCTGAGCCAACTTAGGAGTTGATCTGCCCTTCGGCAGAGTCTCTCTGTTCCTCTTCCTAGACTCATGCTTTTTGGCTGGGTCACTTTCCCAACTGGGTCTGTAGCAGTTCTGAGCTGGGCCATCCAGCCGTTTGACAGCTGCTTTGGAGATGAGAGGTCCTAGCTCCTCCTTCTGGCCTAGCTTCCCATCAAATGGGGCCCTGGGTCCTCTCCTCACAAGGATTTTGGCCTCTTCTGCAGTTTTGTAGCCAGCCTGGATTCTGGCCTTCTGCAGCCTGCTCCCTCCCTTCCCTTCTGCCCCTGGGAAGAGTGACCTCTGCCACTGCTGGGGAGGGGGACTCTGCACTTCCCGTTCATCAGAGTGGGCATTCAGATGACACTGCCATGGTCATCCCCTTCCCCGTGATCCATTCCGGAGGGGTCATTGCAAGTCCAGGCCTGCAGGCCCAGAACTCCCGTCACGGCCTCTGCCTGTTCCTGACAGGAGGTCTGGGAGGCAGCAGGTAGGGGAGCCTGGGCAGGTGGACCCGGCCTGGGTGGAGGGCAGGCAGGTGGCGCCGGACACCACCTGGGGTCCCAGTGAGGAAGGGTCCTGGTGGGCAGTGGTTTAGGGACCAAGCGGATCCGCGGTGTGGGCGCGCCGGGGTGTAGATCAGGAAGGGGGCAATGGTGCTGAGGGCGGGACTGTCTGGGGGCGGGGCTTTGGGCGGAGTCGGGTCGGGCGGAGTCGAGGTCGGGGCTGGGGGCGAAGTGGAGGTCGGGCTGAGGGCGGAGTCGGGGAGGATTGAGGTAGGCCTGAGGGCGGAGTCGGAGTGCGCTGAGGTGAGCCTGAGGGCGGAGTCGAGGTCGGAGTTGAGGGCAGAGTCTGGGGGGCGGGGACGTAGGCGGAACCGGGGTCGGGCTGAGGTGGGCCGGAGGGTTAGGCCCGGGGGACGGAGTGGGTGCCGGGTTGAGTGGGGCGGAGTCGGGGACAGGCTAGGGTGGGCCTACAGGCCGGATTGGCCTGGCGCGGAGCTGAGGGCCGGCCGGAGTTTCGCGGAGGGCCGGGTTTGGCGGGTCTCGGGCGGGGCCGAGCCTAGCCGGGGCGGGACCCAGCCGGGGTGGGGCGGGGCCGAGGCCGAGGCAGGCGGTCGGCTGCGCCGGGGGTTCAGGTGTTGGGCTGCTCCACGTAGCTAGGCGGCCCGCAGGCTGGAGCGAGCTGAGCTTGGCCCGCGGCTTGCGTGAGCTCAGACCGGTTCCAGCGTCCAGAGCGCCTGTCCTTCGGCTCCCTCTAGGCCATGGCGGGGCCGGGCCCGGGCCCGGGGGACCCGGACGAGCAGTACGATTTCCTGTTCAAGCTGGTGCTGGTTGGCGACGCGAGCGTGGGCAAGACGTGTGTGGTGCAGCGCTTCAAGACCGGAGCCTTCTCGGAGCGCCAGGGAAGCACCATCGGCGTCGACTTCACGATGAAGACGCTGGAGATCCAGGGCAAGCGGGTCAAGGTGGGAGGCCGGCCAGGGCCCCTGGAAGTCTCTCTCTTGGCGGGCGGGGCGGGGGGCAGCGGAGCCCCAGGCCTCCGCAAGCGCCCCCAGTGTCCGTCTGAGGTTTCCTTTGGCTTCCTCTTTTTCCTTTCTCGGGTCGGAGCAATCCTGGGTCCCGGGGTCTGGGCCGGGTTCGAGTCCTCAAAGTGCAGGCCCTGGGTTGCGGGGAGGGGTGAGGGAGTGTGGAGGAGACGGCCCTGCCCTCTGGAGCTCACACCCTGGGGGGACTGTACTCCAAAATAACTTTAGCCTTTGGGAGGCAGGGGGTTAGATTCCCCTGCTCCAGGTAACAGCGGAGCGCCTCGGAGTGCGGAGACCAGACGCTCCCCCGCCCCCCACCGCGGTGGCAGCCCCCAGCTCGGCCCACGCGCGGGGCACTCAGCCCGAGAACTGCACCCCCTAAGGACTAGGAGCGATCAGGAAGTAGTTGCTTCTAGCCCCGGAGGGCCAAAACTTTTTGTCAGAATTTCCGGCCTGGCCACGCCTCCCTGCAGTCTCTTTGTGGACCTGGTGGTGGAACTTTTACTCCATTAGGGCCAACCCCTGTTCCCTCCCCCCGCTAGAGTTTGATAGAAACTGAAAACTTAACAGATACCGGAAGGTGGGGGAGAGGATCTAGCTTTGGCAATGGCTCCGAATAAAAACAGCAGGATGTGGTTGCCAGTGTCCTGGCAGTGGTTTGATAAATATTTGTAATGAATGAAATCAGAGTTTCTTAACCTACGTGTGAGTACTCCCTAATCAACTAGAAGACCCTGGGCTGAAGGCACTCAGTAACTTTTCTGAACGTACTGTACAGCAATCTTTGGTTGCTTTCATGGTTTCGAGTCCCCATGATCTTCAGGACACCTTTCAGAGCACAGGGACCGGACGATCTCTGCCAGGGAGATGGGAGTCACTTGAGCCTTGCTGCTGCTGGGCTCTGCCTCTCGGAGTGGCTCTAGGCCTGCTCCTTGTTGCCTTTGGCTAGGACACGTAGCTCTTTGTCTTTGTTTCTGTAAAATTGGGATAATTTCTGGGTGTTGCCTCCCTCTTGCCCTACGATGGAGAAAAAAGTAAGTCAACAGCCTTTATGTGACCACAGTGCCTCTCGGATGTGACAGCGAAGCAGAAACTCCTGCCTGAGGGTTTTTTTTTTTTTTTTTAAATAGTCTTCTGGGGTCTGTGTTTTGGTCTCCGTGGATGGAAAAGAGCAAGGTGCAGAAGGCAGCTTTGAGTCACTTGGAACCACCCTTTTGGAGCAAGTAGCCAGGGAAAGGCTGGAGTGGGTGTAGTGTCCGTTAATGAGTGTGTGCCCAGTGATGATGCCAGCAGCTGTAGGGAAAGGGGAGTGTGAAAAACAGGCCAAAGAGCAGTGGTGTCCTCAGAGCTCTAGTCCTGTGCCTGGAGCATCTGTGGTGGCCCAATGCTGATGGTGGTCAGGGAGCGGGCAGGGTTCCTGTTTACCTGTCGAGATAACAGCCTGTGCCCCAGCAGACCTCCTGGTTTACTGTGCACAGGTTATGTAATGCAGGGCTGGGCAGTTCGCTATTTCCTTTCCTTATGGTTGCCTCCAGGTTGTCCTTCCTAGGAGGCAGCCTGTGTGCCGGGAAGCAGAAGAGCTGTGTAGCTGTGGTAAAACCTCTCCAAGTTACAGCTGCTGCCCTTCTTGAGAGACTGTTGGGAGCCAGATAGGTTACAGGTGCATTCTCTGCTGACTGTTGGGAATTCTTAACCCCACTCACACAGGATGGAGTCTGGGCTCACAGCTAAGAAATGACAGGTGGGAATATTTTTCCCAAATTTTCTGACTCCAAAGCAGGAGCAGTTTTCCCCCCACAGCCAACAAACAGCTTTTCAGAATCACATTGTCTGAAGTTGGGAAGCCTCTGGCAGTTGTTTACCTCCTCATTTTGCAGTCAGGAAAACCCAAAGTCTAGCCCACTTCAGAGGCTCCAAATTAAAGCTGGGCAGCCGTGAACCTGAGCAAACACTGTCCTTCGAGTCAGGATTCCTGGGGTCCACTGCCTCAGCAGGAGCAAGCGCTTTTCCCTCCTCCATCTGTAAAGTGCCTCTGAGTAGTGTTTTGGCAGTGTGATTTTTTTTTTTTTTTTTTTGAGACGGAGTTTCGCTCTTGTTGCCCAGGCTGGAGTGCAATGGTGCATTCTTGGCTCACCACAACCTCCGCCTCCTGGGTTCAAACGATTCTCCTGTCCCAGCCTCCCAAGTAGCTGGGATTACAGGCATGTGCCACCATGCCCGGCTAATTCTTTTTGTCTTTAGTAGAGACAGGGTTTCACCATGTTGGCCAGGATGGTCTCAATCTCATGACCTTGTGATCCACCCACCTCGGCCTCCCAAAGTGCTGGGATTATAGGCGAGAGCCACCGCGCCCGGCCAGCAATGTGATTTTTAAGTCAAGTTTTTTGAGGTCTAATTTACACACAGTAAATCATTACCACTTGAGGTGCACAGATCTATAAACTTGACAAACATACACAGACATACAACCACACCACAACCAAGATCGAGAATTTTTCCACCAACCCAGAAAGTTCTTTTGTTCCTTTGTAGTCAGTTCCTTTCACCCCATCCTCTGGCAACCCCCGATCTGTTTTTTGTCCCTGTAGTTTCAGCAGTTTGATATTAACTGAAACCCTTGATGAACCAGAGTTTATTGTTGTTGTTTTCCATGAAAAGCAAGTGCATATCAGGGATTTAGTTTAAAACCTTCCCAGGATCTCAGCATGGTGGTTCATGCCTGTAATCCCAGCCCTTTGGGAGGCTGAGGCAGGAAGATTGCTTGATGCCAGCAGTTCGAGATGAACCTGACCAGCATAGTAAGACTCAGTATCTGTTATAAAATAAACCTTCCCAGGGCCTGTCCTGGAAGCCTGGGATGCTTGTCTAACAAGCATCCAGTCTTATCTCTCCTAGAGCTTTCCCTGTGATTCTTTACAATGATGCTGGGTTTTATTAGAGCTTGAGGAAGCTTAGAGATGGATCACCTGGTGGTTTTCCAGCTCTTCTGAGCTTGGAGGTACCAAAAGGTAAGGAGAAAGGCCAAGAGGGCAGAGAGAGAGTCAGAGGGCTTTAACTAGCTTCCCAACCAGTCAGAGCAGTACCTTTATCTAGTTGTATATTGAAGTTCTACTTGTTATTTGACTAAAGAGTTTTGCTGCTATAAAAATAAAACATTTGAGAATCACAGATTTAATCAAATTACTTTATTTCTGTAGCTACTTCCCATTACAGCCAGAATAACCTTCAGACACCTTCCCCAAAGAGATGGACCTCTGGAAGGAGACGAAGTTGGAGAGGCAGACAGAGGCCCATCTCTACCCTTTACCGCCTGCTCTATTGCCTCACTAGCCCTTCAACATGTGGGGCTCACCTCCGCCTCGGGACCTTTGCATCTGATCCCCTGCCCATCATACTCTGCCTCTAGATCTCCATGTAACTGCTACATCTTCGAGAGGCTTTCCCTGACCTCCCAGGTCTTCTATTCTGTAACTCTATTGTGTCTGGTTGTAACACTTACCAGAGCTTCAAATTAACTGGTTTGTTTGTCTCCCCTTTAGAAGGTAAGCTCTTTGAAGACACAGGGATCTAGTGGGCCAGTGTTAAACACATGATGTCCAATATGACCCTGTTATTTGTTCCTTTATAGAGAAGAAGCTGAGGCCAAGGTCACTTATAAGTCTGTGGCAAAATTCAGGGTTTGGCTGGCTCCTAAGCCCAGTCCTCATTTTCACACTTGACCACCCTTCTGATTTGCTCTGAGTTCATAAAAATGACCCTGAGATTCATTCTCTGAGTGAATGGATCTGATAAAAATGCACTTGTGGTCATTGTACTCACTGAGAGAAGAATGTGGAATGGGGCATTTTAGAAAGATTTGGTTTGACAGTTGAAGAGTTTTAGGGTATTTATCAGTTATTAACAAGAACATGTAGATATACCCAACAGCTCGCAGATGCTGCTGTATGAGTCAGTAAGGGTTTGTATATGGTGGTCATTTTCAGTGTTCTTGTGGATGCATTTGGCTTTAGCTATGAGGACGGGACTTAGAAAGTGAATCTGAGTGCTGTTTCTCTTACATACTATGGAGTCTCTGATAGAGAGCACTGGACTAGGAGTCTGAAGAATCTGGGTCTTCAACCCTACCACAATCTTGGGCAATTATTTTTTTCTCCTTGGAGACTCTGACTTCCTCATCTGTGAAATGGGACTAATAATATTTGCTCTGCCTCCTTCTTAGGGTTGTTGGAAAACTTTAGACATGCTTAAAATAGTTTAAAGTTACCTTATTTTTAAATAGCTAAACCATTCATATGGTTCAAATTTCAAAATTTTTAAAACTTCAAAGAGTATGCAGTGAAAAGTCTCCCTTCTGTGTTTGTCCCATAACCCACCCAGTGTCCTCTAAGAAGAACCCATTAATTAGTGTAACCCATTTCTTATTTAAAAACAAAGATTTATAAATATAAGCATATAAATATAAGTAAATATAACAAATATAAATATATATATTATTATTGCTGCAGTTACTGTTTTCCTCCTAGATGAGACAGATTAGGTCTGAATTTGCCCCTCCCCCACACCACTCCTCCCCACCTCAGTGTCCTCAGGAAATCTCAGCTGGCTGTAAATCCTTAAAACATTCTGAAGCTCCTCCACTCACTCTTATCTGGGACAACACAAAGGCCTGTTATGTAAACTCATTTTTGCAGATCACTAGGCACACGGGCCTCAGGTCCAGCACAGAGGTCAGCCTTGTGGAACTGTACCCCTCTATTCAGCTCTCTCAGGCTTGCTGTCTGCTCTCTGGAGATGCTGCCAGATCTCTCCTTCATAGAGGTAAATTCTGTGCCCTTGGGCCTGGACCTCCAGATTTCAGGACCTTTGGCCTTGGCTCTCAAGCTTCCCTTGGCCCTAGGAGTCATCTTTGTTTTTGTAGCTGCTCCTGGCACTTCAAAAAG